GTCAAATAAATAAATAAAATCTTAAAAAAAAAAAGAATATTATTTTCTTTGGGCCTGGGTGGCTCAGTCGTTAAGCGTCTGCCTTCGGCTCAGGTCCTGATCCCAGGGTCCTGGGATCGAGCCACGAGTCAGGCTCCCTGCTCGGGAGGAAGCCTGCTTCTCCCTCTCCCACTCTCCCTCCTTGTGTTCCCTCTCTCGCTGTGTCTCTCTGTCAAATAAATAAATAAAATCTTTTAAAAAATAGTTGAAAAATCTAAAACATATCATGACACATGAAAATTTTATGAAATTCAAATTTCAGTGTCTCTAAATAAAATTCTATGGAATGGTGGAACTATGATTGCCGCTTGCAATCTCATGCTAGAGGCTTTGTTTCGAACCATTGTGTCTCCGTCTTTCCCTCTGGATCTCCACAGCCCTGGCACCTTAGATTAACACTCATCATGGAACACCTGCGTGGCTCAGTCAGTTAAGCGTCTCTTGCTCTCAGTTCAGGTCTTGATCTCAGAGTCGCGAGTTCAAGCCCCAAGTTGGGCTCCACGCTGGGTATGGAGCCTACTTAAAAAACAAAACAAAACACCCATCATAAGCCACTTTCATTTATATATTGTCTTTTTTTTACTTTTTTTTTTTTTAAAGATTTTATTTATTTGAGAGAGAGAGTGGGAGAGAGAGAGCACATGAGAGGGGGGAGGGTCAGAGGGAGAAGCAGACTCCCCGCTGAGCAAGGAGCCCAATGCGGAACTCGATCCTGGGACTCCAGCCAGGATCATGACCTGAGCCGAAGGCAGTTGCCTAACTAACTGAGCCACCCAGGCGCCCCTATTTATATATTGTCTTGCACTACAATAGCAGCGTTTAATAGTGCAAGAGACACAATGGCTGTCAAAGCCTAAAATATTTACTGTCTGGCCCTTTAAGAATAGATTGGCCAAAGGGCACCTGGCTGGCCCAGGAGATGGAGCAAGGAACTCTGGATTTCTCAGGGTTGTGAGTTCAAGTCCTATGTTGGGTGTAGAGATTACTTAAAAAAAAAAAAATCAAGGGGCACTTGGGTGGCACAGTTGGTTTGAGTGTCCCAACTCTTCGTTTTGGCTCATGTCGTGATCTTGCGGTTGTGAAATGGAGCCCCATGTTGGGCTCCATGCTCAGTATGGAAGTATGCTTGAGATTCTCTCTCCCTCTACCCCCCCGCCATAAATAAATGAATCTTTAAAAAAAAAAAAAAGTCTAAAAAAATAGGTTGGCCAACTCTGGAAACTTTTCAAACTCAGCGGCATCAGAATCACCTGGAGGGCTTGTTAAAACACAGACTGCTGGGGCACCTGGGTGGCTCAGTCGGTTAAGTGTCTGCCTTTGGCTCAGGTCATGTTCCCGGGGTCCTGGGATCAAGCCCTGCATTAGGCTCCCTGCCGAGCAGGTGCACCAATAAATAAAAATCTTAAAAAAAAAAATGATATTCAGTAAAGAACTGAATTATCAGGGGCACCTGGGTGGCTCAGTCGTTAAGCATCTGCCTTTGGCCCGGGTCATGATCTTAGAGTTCTGTGATGGAGCCCCGCATTGGGCTCCCCGCTCAGCGGGAAGCCTGCTTCTCCCTCTCCTACTCCCCCTGCTTGTATTCCCTCTCTTGCTGTCTCTCTCTGTCAAATAAATAAAATCTTTAAAAGAAAGAACTGAATATCACTAGAGAGGAGGGCATGTGAATATTGCAAAGAGTGATCCAAGTAAAGGGAATAGCAAGTGAAAGGACCTGAGCAGACACACACCAGGTGTGTTTGAAGGACAGCAAAGAGGCAAGTGTGGCAGGAGGGTAGTGAATAAGGGGGAGAAGAATAGCAAAGTCAGAGAGCAGTACCAGGGGGCCAGATCCTATAGGCTATAATGATGATTTTGTTTTTCCTCCAGGTAAGATGGGAAGCCAGGAGAGGGTTTTGAGCAGATAAAGAACATGATCTCACTCACATCTTATCAGGATCACCAAGGCTGCTATGTTGAGAACAGACTTAAGTGGGGGAAGGCAAAGGTTGAAACTGAGAGACTAATTACAAGGTTACAGCAATAAAAAAGTGCAACAGGACTATATGACTTAGACCAACCAGGTGGAAGTTGTGGAGGTGTGTGAAGGTGTGGGATTCTGGATATATAATTTGAAGGGCAATGGGATTGGAAATTGACTGGCTATGGGGTGGGGGGGGGAGGCTGTAGAAGCAGAATTTGGGTGAGGGAAATTCAGGAGTGCAATTTTATTTTATTTCATTTTTTTAAAAGATTTTATTTATTTATTTCACAGAGAGAGAGAATGAGAGATAGAAAGCACGAGAGGGAAGAGGGTCAGAGGGAGAAGCAGACTCCCTGCTGAGCAGGAAGCCGGATGTAGGACTCCATCCCGGGACTCCAGGATCATGACCTGAGCCAAAAGCAGTCGCTTAACCAACTGAGCCACCCAGGCACCCCAGGAGTGCCATTTTAAAGATTTATTTGAGAGAGCGAGAATGAGAGAGAGTACATGAGAGGGGGCAGGGTCAGCGGGAGAAGCAGGCTCCTCGCTGAGCAAGGAGGCCGATGCGGGACTCAATCCCGGGACTCCAGGATCATGACCTGAGCTGAAGGCAGTCGCTTAACCAACTGAGCCACCCAGGCGCCCCACAGGAGTGCAATTTTAGATCTAAGTTTGAAATACCGATTAGACATCCAAGTGGTATGTCTCCTAGGCAAGTGGCTTATCCAATTTTGGTATTAGGGGATGACTCCAGGAAGAAAATGTAAATTTGGAAGTTGTCAGTGTAGAGATGGTATTGAAAGTCTTGACACTGAAAGAGACCACCATATTCCATGTGCCTCCCACCACCCCCTTTATTGGTATCCCTAACCCCAATACTTCCCTTGCAGATCTTAGGCCATACAGTCTGGTAGAAGAGGGCTGGGGTACTCTTGGCTTCTTAACACATTCACACCCACTAGTTTAAAATTTCCAGGGGGTTATGCTTTGGGCCCACAAGGCCAAGACACAGTTTTAATCAGAGGTTTTCACATTAGGCCAAAGAATGTTAGTCATCTCCATCTTCATATGGATTGAAAAAAATACACTTCAACAGAAAAGAAAAACAAAACTATTTTAAAAGTTTTTCCAGGAGGAACTGAGGACTTGTTGGCTGAAGTTGCATGGAAATCGAGACACACACACACACACACAATAAACATTGCGAGATTGGAAGAAGTGCTCCGCATAAGAGAATACCCCAAAGTATTCCTATTCCCAATAAAGATAAAAATCTCTGGGGCGCCTGGCTGAATATGGCAGAGGCGCAGGTGACTCTTGATCTCGGGGTCGTGAGTTCGAGCCCCACGGTGGATGTAGATTATTAAAAACTAAATAAACTTTTTAAATAAGTGATAAAAATCCCTTCCGAGGTTTTCTTTTTGCTGCGACCCTTCATGAACCTCCAGCAGATGCTAGAAGTGACTTAAGAAGGCTGGGGAGATAGCCGTTGGGAAATAACTGTTGGTAGTTGGCAATACTTCATTCCAGGGAGGTTGTGGCAAGAACTCCCTAGGCAGCAGACATCATGGATTTTCCTCCCTCTGGGAACCAGAGGTCCCTCCGTTTCTGGTCTGGATCCCTCAGAGACAAAGAACTTCATTCTCTCCCAGACCAGAGTGGGGCTGCTGGGGAGTGGAGCGGGTGGAGGGGTTAGAATTCTACCCCCAGGAAACACCCACAGGCTCAGACAGGAGCCCGAATCCTGACTCTGGTCCAGGAGGCTTGCGGGGCTGCGGGGGCAGCGGGGCCCCTCCGGCGAGGGCCGGGCGGGCTGCCAAGGTGCCGGGGGAAGGGGCCGCCCAGCGCAGACCGGGTACGTGGAGCGCTCGGTCCACTGCCCCGAAGGGAGCGTCTGCCTCCTGAAGCCCCCGGTCCTTCTCTCCGCTCCATTCTCTCGCGCTCCTTTTTCCCGGCGAGCCTCCGCATTCCCCATCTGCCCGTCGCCGCCCTCGCCCTTTCTTCCCTCCTCCTGACCCTCCTCCGGCTCGCCCCTCCCTCGGCAGCCCACCTTCGCCCCGCTCCTCCGCGGGCTTCTCGGTGCTTGCCCCTCATCCCCGGCCTCCCCTCGCCGGCCCCCAGCGCCCAGGGCCCCCGCGGCCCCCTCCCTGCCCCCCTCGAGGCGGCGGCGGCCCCTTTCACAATAGCGCGGCCCGCCTCCCTCCTCTCCGCTCCCGGTTCGCTCCCGCCCGCTCCCCGCCCAGCGCATGCGCCCTCCGGTCAGCGGCGGCTGCGGCGGTGGCGGCTGCGAGCGGCTCCGTTTTTTTAAAGGGAAACGCTGAGGCGCCGGGGGTGACTGTGGGGGAGGGGGACCCCGAGCCAAGGAGACCCCCAGGGGAGGCGACAGACCCCCTCCCGGAGTAGGAGGGCTTTGGGCGGACCCATCCCTCCCACCCCCTCCTGAGGAGGAGCGGGGGGAAAATGGAGGCTCGGGGCGGCTGAGGCGAGCTCCGGGGCGGGGGGCCGGGGCGGGGAAGGGGGGGTGTGGGGTGGGGAGACGAGGCGGGCCCGGCCGGGCCGGGGGGGGCCGAAGCGAGCTCCGGGGATGAGCTCGGGGGCGGCTGGGTGCGAGCTCCTGCCTCTGAGGCGAAGGCGGCGGCGGCGGCAGCAGAGGCGGCGGCGAGGCCCCCATGGGCCGGCGGCGGGCCTCAGCCGCGGCCTCCACTTCTCCGCACGCCGGCGGGATGGCGCCCGGGCCCCGGAGGAGCCGCGCTAGCCGAGGCCTGCTGCCGCGCTGCTGAGGCGAGCCCGCCAAACTCCCCTCCCCCTCCTCCGTCCTCGACCCCCCACACCTCACCCCTTCCCCACCCCCTCCTCCGTCTCGGTCCCCGGCGCTGCTCCGGACCACTATGACCATGAGATCCGCAGTGTTCAAGGCGGCCGCGGCCCCTGCCGGCGGCAACCCTGAGCAGCGACTGGACTACGAGCGGGCTGCGGCGCTGGGCGGGCCCGAGGACGAGCCCGGGGCGGCCGAAGCCCACTTCCTCCCCCGGCACCGTAAGCTCAAGGAGCCGGGGCCCCCGCTGGCCTCCTCCCAGGGCGGGAGCCCCGCGCCCTCCCCGGCCGGCTGTGGCGGCAAGGGCCGGGGCTTGTTACTCCCGGCCGGGGCGGCCCCCGGGCAGCAGGAAGAGAGCTGGGGCGGCTCGGTGCCCTTGCCCTGTCCGCCCCCGGCCACCAAACAAGCGGGCATTGGGGGGGAGCCAGCGGCCGCGGGAGCCGGCTGCAGTCCCCGACCCAAGTATCAGGCGGTGCTGCCCATTCAGACGGGCTCTCTCGTGGCGGCGGCCAAAGAGCCTACGCCCTGGGCCGGGGACAAGGGTGGGGCGGCTCCCCCAGCTGCCACCGCCTCGGACCCGGCGGGACCCCCACCACTACCTCTGCCGGGGCCGCCACCCCTCGCGCCCACCGCCACCGCCGGGACCCTGGCGGCCAGCGAGGGCAGATGGAAGAGTATGAGGAAGAGCCCTCTCGGGGGTGGCGGCGGCTCGGGAGCCTCCAGTCAGGCCGCCTGCCTCAAACAGATCCTTCTGCTGCAATTGGACCTCATCGAACAGCAGCAGCAGCAGCTGCAGGCCAAGGAAAAGGAGATCGAGGAGCTGAAGTCAGAGAGAGACACGGTACGGGAGGGGTTAATCTGCGTTCGGGACGACGAGCGAGTTGTGCGCATGCTCGGGGGAAGGGGGCTGTAGGAGGTTAAGGTATCCCTCCCTTGGTTAGGGGTAAGGAGGTTGGCCACCAGCGAAGGAGTATCTTAAGTGTCGGGTCCTTGGGAACCAGGCTCACAGACACGTTGGGTCGGAGGGAAGGGTTAAAGGGCAACCTCCCAGTGGGAGGGGGAGGGGAGGCTTCAGGTGCCAAAGGGTTAATTTAAAATGACAGCCTCAGACTTGTGGGAAAGACGTGGAGAGTGGGAAAAGACCTCATTTGTGAAGGGTTGAAAATGCAAAGGTGGGATGCATATGTGGTGGCTTTATGGAAGGGGTTAAATGAAAGAGATTGTGTGTTAGAAATGCATTCTTAGAGGAGAGGGACAGAGCAGCTGTTGCACTGCTTTAGCATCTTTAGATGGGAGGGCAGTAGGCCTTTTAATTGGCAGAGAGGTAGAGGTGATTCACAGTGGGATCCTGTTTTAGTTTTCTTAAATGATATGAAGAGAATCACTGCCTTTGATTTCAGACAGTTTTGAATAAGAATCTTAGTTATAAAACATGACCCACTGACCAGCTTCCTTGTATAAGCATAGTGTGGAGGGGCTGGTAGATTTTAAGGCATCAGGGGAAAGGAAGTTTGTTAAATGTATTAAGTAGACCCCCTCCCCAGAAAATCCCAATTTTTAGAATCTTAAGATGATAGGGCAGTAATTTATTATTTATTTTTACTTCTGAGGAGCGTGACTATATAGGCTTGTTTTCACTGCAGCAGTAGTCAAGAGCATCTTATGCGTTAAAACATATTCTTTCAGATATCAGGAAAGCTGTGTGTGTGTGGTGGGGGGGGTATTACTGTGCTAGCATACCTTACAGCTGCCTAAAAATAAACATGGTTTCTACAATTGTTGTGTTCAGGCTGCAGCAGTCTGTCTCTCTCTCTCTCTCTCTCTCTCTCTCTCTGGCGTTGTGTGCGCCAAGGGCTGAGCAAGGGAGCAGAGGGCTATTCATTTTGTTTGCTTTACAAATGAATCGCATCAGGCATCGGCTGTTTTATTGGAGAATGCATTCTGCAAGGTGGAATGGGAGCTGGGGCAGGTCTCATCAGAATATCTCGTGTTGATTTGTGGAAGTTACTCAACATGGAGGTGGCACTGCTCAGCTACTGTACTGCAGTCTAGGGGTGTGATGGTACTGTAATTACAACACATCATATCCTTACATGGCGGGAGGGCAGGAAGAGAAGGACCAGTGAAGGAGAAGAAATCAAGGAAATGTCACCCACAAACCATGGTTAAGTAATGTTAAGGCTGTGAATCAAAACAGAAGATGAAATGAGAGTATGGCTGACAGGGGGGCTCTCTGCTGATTTGGAGGTTTCTGCTCATTTCCTGAGGTAATGGCCCCTTTGCAGACTTTCCTAGGCAGGAAAAGTGGGGTGAGTTAAGGATAGAGTATCAGTCTGAACTTGGCATTCACTGTTTTTGTTGTGTATTGCAGTCTTAGCATTGCTTAAGCTTGTTTCTCTTATTCCAGTTGTTGTTTGGCCTCTACTGAAATCTCTGCGGCTAAGTAGATATAATAAAGACAACATTAATATTGCTGTCTACCCAAATAAAGTTCTTACTATAGTGTTTTAAGTAGCATAGTTGGCACCTTTTTTCAGAACATTCTAATGTGAAGTTTTCAATGATAATAGACGTCCATTTTTTGTTTGATTATGTAGTTCTCCTTTAATTAAAGTTAAAAGACTTTGGTTTAAGTAATATTTAGATAAATGGGTAGATTTTTTCCCTGTAATCTCAAATGCAAAGAAATATGCATATTTCATGATCAATGGGATTATGGGTACTGGTTACTATTAAAATTCTTCCAGATTGAGTGTTCATTGTTTAAATGCCCTGCACACCCCTTTCAAATAACACTGCAATCCCTCGTGGCACTGTGACTGTGAGCGTTTAATTCCTTCTCAATATACCGTTTGGACTTTGCCCTTGTGTATAGCATTTTGGAGTGAAAGTAGAGAGGACAGGATTTGGAGAAACTTAGGGCCTCCTAAAAGAACATAAGTTTAATTCTGGAAACTCCCAAACTGACTTGGAGCCACATGGTTAGCAGTAGAGAGACCATGCCATTTGAAAGGCATGCTGTGGCCCCTCCCAGAGAAGAGGATCTTCTTTCAAAAGAATGAACTACAAATTCCCCCATACCCCTCCTCAACTAGGTTAGCCCTAAAATTAAGCAGAGTACCTTGTCTTCTCTATTGCGTTTAAGGAAAACTATTCCAATTCATGCCTATCTATTAAAAATAAATTGAATTGCTATGACCCATGGAAAGAGGCAGAAGACCATACTGATGCCTTAAATGGGGCTTAGTACCTGGGTGTAATTTTTTGTGTTTTAAGTCTGCATTTTGGCACTCTCTCTTTTAGCTCCTTGCTCGGATTGAACGTATGGAAAGGCGGATGCAGCTGGTAAAGAAGGATAACGAGAAAGAAAGGCACAAGCTGTTTCAGGGCTATGAAACTGAAGAGAGAGAGGAAACGGAGCTATCCGAGAAAATTAAACTGGAGTGCCAGCCGGAGCTTTCCGAGACATCCCAGACTCTGCCTCCCAAGCCTTTCTCTTGTGGGCGGAGTGGAAAGGGACACAAAAGGTGTGCTGATAACTTTGTTACACTGTCTGGACATGATGAGGATATGTGTTTCCAGTGACTGAGAGTAGGGGATTGGGATTTATGAATTGGTTTTAATACAACCATATCCTGAATTATGAGGTCTTCCATGCTGAGAAACTATCTTGAAACATTCTTGCAGGCTATAAAAATCTGTTAGGAACATTTTGGTCACAGTAGTAATTACAGAATGTGGAGTACATCATAAAGAGAATGGGCAACAAATGTGACAGCTGAGTTTCTTAAAACTATAGCAGTTCACTTCAAGTTAGGAAGTGTTAAATTCCTTCATTGTGTTAGGTAGTAGTGGACAAAGAAGTAAGGTCTGACTGTCCTTGGACCCAAAGAGATGTCAGTCTAGCTGTGAAGGTGGCATACATTTTGCAAACTCGGAATTTAATGGCAATAAAATATGAAAGTAGACAACAGTGATATAAACTAAATTTTGTAAGATTCAGAGACATTAAAGATTATTCTGAGGTAGAATAGTGAAACTTTAAGGAGGAGATGGATCTTGAAAAAGAAGTATAGAATTTAGGTTGGTAAAACGGAAAGGAAGTGGCATTCTAGGAATAGTGGTGGGGGGGAGGAGATTGGTGGGAGAAAGCCAGCAGATAGCAAGAAAAAAGAAATAGAGATTGTAATTAACATGGTATAGTATTGGGGGAAAAAATAAGAGACTGGTCTCTGGTTGACAGGAATGAAATAGGCCACAGAGTGGCACCTAATGTTGGCTAAAGGGTCTTGAATAAAATAGGAACCTTTTTAGATTTAGTGGGCAATAAGATGCAATTAGAGGTTCTTAAGCATGGAAACTCACTTGTTCAACAAACACTTACCTGAGGGCCTGTTCTAAATACTGGTAAGCATGAGGCTGTTCCTGCTCATGACTGCCAACTGAATCAGATGTTTAGATATTTAGATACCTGAACTTGTTTGTTCTCTTGCCCCCAAATGTAATCAAATCAGATTTTATTCAAGAGTCAATACATTTTATAATGTTTTCTTCCCTATCTAATAGGAAATCCCCATTTGGAAGTACAGAAAGAAAGATTCCTGTTAAAAAGCTGGCTCCTGAATTTTCAAAAGTCAAAACAAAAACTCCTAAGCACTCTCCCATTAAAGAGGAACCCTGTGGTTCCTTATCTGAAACTGTTTGTAAACGTGAATTGAGGAGCCAAGAAACTCCAGAAAAGCCCCGGTCTTCAGTGGACACCCCGCCAAGACTCTCCACTCCCCAGAAGGGACCCAGCACCCATCCCAAGGAGAAAGCCTTCTCAAGTGAGATAGAAGATTTGCCGTACCTTTCCACCACAGAAATGTATTTGTGTCGTTGGCACCAGCCTCCCCCATCACCGTTACCATTACGGGAATCCTCTCCAAAGAAGGAGGAGACTGTAGCAAGTAAGGCATAGAGAACACTTGCTCTTATACCCTAGTGGTGGCGGTCAAGCTAACAAGTGTGAAAATGCCTTTGGCATTTTTAAAAAAGTGCAATCAATAAAGCAGAGTTCTGTCAAGAATGAGTAAGTTAACAGCCAGAGACAGACACTGTGCAGGCATTGCAAATAGATGGAATTACAGCAAAATGTGCTCAATGTATTTGCCTGCTTACAACACTGGGAGATGTGTTTGCCAGTAAGTTGCTCATCACAAGAGCACCAGACTCGGGGGTGTAATCTCCGGCAACTTGCATGCCCTCTGAAAGAAGGGTTTTCTGTGCTGTGAAATGCATAGAACTTATACTTTGCCATGCACGACTGTTCCTGCAATTGATATTGTGTGAAACCTGGGAGGGTGGTCTTTGGGTGTTCTCAGGGGCCAATGGTAATTTTTGGGTTGGGGAGCCAGCTTGGGGTGGGGAATTTCACCTGGGCCTCCGCTCTTTAACTATATAAACATTTATCTGTATCTCTATGTCCCGGTCTGGGGGGCAGGAGGAATCTGCCAAAGACCAACAGTCTTACTTTATCTTACTATACTTCACAAAGGTTCTAAATGTGAAGAGTTTACTTGGATTGCAGTAGCCCATTGGTTGTTCATATATTTAAATAAAATGGTCTACAAACTATTTTTCAAACAATAAGGACTATCTTGGGATATCTGAGCTGCTTGGGGAGGGTGTGGGGTGCGGGACCTTGGTCTTCATTCCCTTTTTTTTCTTTATGGCTTCCACACAGAAATGCTACTCTATCTCCTACATCAACCAGTAACTGCAATGTGCCTTCAATTGTGTAATGTTAGTCTGTGACAGTCACTGCGGGCGCTCCGGGGTGATGGTGGGGGAAGTCTTCTTGAAGAGAGCCACAGCCCCAAGTTTCTACCACTGTGTCTTGCTGTAGCAGGGATGGGGATGGGAATCCATTCCAATAAGACAAGAGCATTCTCCAGGCTTTGTTTGGCTGTTCTGGTGACAAAATTAAGTGGGGAAGATAGATTACTCTTCTTAACTATCTAAAATTCATTAGGCCTCACACTTGAGTACATGAGCTAGACCAGGATCCTGATCTAGGTTCAGGTTTTTTTGTTGGTTCAGTCAGTTGAACAGGTTCATCCTTAATGGTTAACCTTCTTGCTGCCATGGCAATGCTGTGTAACAACTTAAGAGAAACTGTGAAGCAACTTCCCATCCGGGATTGGGAAATGGCTTGGTCCAGAGCTGTTCTGTTTGACTGGCTGTTTTGAAAACCCTCTCTACCCTAGTACAGAAAATTCCAAACACCTCTGAGATTGTGGGCATAGCAGTACAGAAAGAGTCCGACTGGGGGGAATCCCAGCCCTTTGAGAAGCCTGAGTTGTGAATAAACGTGTGAATCCTTATTCTTGATGCCCCTATCTCAAGAGGAAGCTCAATGGCTTGTTCTAAGGAAGCCAAAGTCTTTGTGCATGTTGTTCAGGCTGGACCAGCAAGGTAGTTTGTTTGGAGGGAGGAGGGAGCTGTTTAAGAAGACTACATATGTAAGTTTTGAGAACACTGATCTTTTATTTGAAAAATAGGGTCAACTTTTACTCACCTGCCATGTTCTGAGTTTAAGGTTTGATATCCTTGGCCATCAACTGTTGCAGGGAAACCACCCTAAATAATGAAGAAAAGAAGTCGTCTCAGTGTAAAAAAAAAAGTGGTGGGCTTATTTTCTTTTCTTTTGTCTGTTGTTCCCTCTTCCCCTCCCCCAGAGAGAAATTCTCAAAAGAACAACTCAAAAAAACCAAAATGGCTTCCTAGTGAGAACTTCAGTGATCCTTTCCTCCATTTTGGGTATGGGCTTTTTTTCTTTTTACACTGAGATGATTCTTCTTTCCTGCATTATTTAGGGTGTCTGATGCCATCAAGTGTTGCAGGAGAAACTTCAGTCTTGGCTGGTGAGTAGAATAGGAATTGTGCTGGCTGGGCCTGGGGTGGGGGTTCGGTGGGATGGTGGATGGTTGGGGAGCAACATTCCCCATCAGCTGGATGTGGGAGAGTGAGATTCCTTGGTGTATGATTACACTATAGACTTCAAAATGACTACAAATTTCAGTTGTTTTTCAGGAACTGCAATAGCATCAATTATATGAATTGTCAGGTATTGGCTTAGGGTTTTTTGTGATCCTGTGTTTGGCAGACTGCAATGGCATTTTAGGTTCTTTTATACCATAGCGAGGACACTGAATATGGCTTCAGGTGAGGCCATAGAATGGATTCCTATCACTTGGTAACTTTGTCCTATCTGGGGAGAGACCTCTTGTCCTAGTGAATAGTAGGAGGGTTGTGTGACTTTGGATTTAAGGGTGGTTCCACCCCTCCTCCCTTTCTTTTTCTTTCTTTTTTTTTTTTCAGTTCCTTCTTGGAGGGACCACTCAGTAGAGCCTCTAAGGGACCCAAATCCTTCAGACCTTTTGGAGGTAGGTACCTAAGACCTGTCAGCAGAGGGGAGTGAGGGACAGGATAGAAATGGAGGTTTAACTTGAATGTGTCCTAGTAACAGGATGGATGGGTTAAATAACTCTTAAAGCCAGAAGGAAACTTGAGCAATTATCTAACCCAGCTCTTTTGTTTATATAGAAGAGAAAACTGAATTTCAGAGTAACTAAATGATTTATTAAAAAATAAATAGCTAGGGAGTGTTCAAAACAAAATGAAATTTCATGCTAAGTAGAAAAGTTAGAATGTGCCACTCAGCAACAAAATTACATATTCCAAACTTATTTGACTCTTAAAACTCAGACTCTTGCAAAGCATGGAGGTAGGGAGGGTTTATGGCGGTCTCAAGGGTTGTTTCAGTTTGACATGATTTTCACCTTGGAAAGTTGAGGAAATAATTTCAAAGTTTGGACAGTCTACAAGGGTGGGTGTGGGGAGAAGAGTATGTGTTTTGTTGATTCTGTTACTAGGAGGTTCCCATGACATCCATAGAACTCACAGACTCAGGTGGGACCTGCAGGGAAAAGATTTTACATTCCTGGAAGCTGGAAATGAGTTCGCATATACATGTGTCACGTGGTGATAAATAGTTTATCAGCTGCTGTTCTTTACACAGAACCTGGATGACAGTGTGTTTTCAAAGCGGCATGCAAAACTGGAGCTCGATGAGAAGAGAAGGAAAAGGTGAGGCGAGAGATACACATCCTGGAACAGCTGAGCCCTAGGACCCTAACCTCTCTCATTCATGCTGTGAAAAGCTCTGGAGCCCTTAACACTCTTAAATTACTGCCATCCCAATTGGTTGAGTATCTTAGTTTGAAGTGGTAGTTGTTATAAGTAAAGATGTTTGGCTTCTTTTTCTTTGTGTATGCCTTTCCTCAGTTCCACTCTCTGTGGAACATCAACACGTGATTTGGACTGCTAGACCTAAAGAGCTCTTTCCTGACGAGGCAGACAGTTCACTTTACCACAGTTCACTTACCACCCCCCACCCTCCCCACCCCATTAAGAAGAGTCAGCACAGGTCTCCCTAGTGTCTGGACTGTGTTAGCTGCTTTTATAGAGCAGGTTTTCAGTAATATTGGGTTTGTTTCTTTGTTTTGTTTTGTCTGGTTTGTTTTTCCCAGATGGGATATTCAGAGGATCAGGGAACAAAGAATTTTACAACGACTGCAGCTCAGAATGTATAAAAAGAAAGGAATTCAGGAATCTGAGCCTGAGGTTACCTCATTTTTCCCTGAGCCAGATGACGGTAAGTTTTGTCTATCTAAGAAAGTAGGTTTTTCAAAGAAGGAAAAGGGTGCAAGGCTCCAGGGTACAACTTGCTCTGAATGAATGAACAGCATTTTGGAGCAGGTGTAGTTGCTAGACATTTCTCCTCTATGTCACTAACAAGGTCCCATTTGGCTTTCTCCCATAGTTGAAAGTTTGATGATTACCCCCTTCTTGCCTGTTGTAGCATTTGGACGACCATTACCCAAATTAACTCCACAGTAAGTATAAAGGTTTTTTTTCCCCCCTCTCCCTTCTCAGGTAGCCTGCACTTTACCTCCTTTTTAGACCTCATGAAGGCCTAGATAATAAGGTGGAACAGGTGGCTTAGGGATAGCCATGGCTTTTTGACAGAAGTGAGGCTATCTGGGCAACTAGCATTGGAGTGATAAAGTAATTAGAAGGATTGCTTTTTGAGTTAGAAAGAGATTATTTAGTCACTTTAATAGCACACTGTTTCTCCGGCTTTGGGACAGGAAAGACATTCTAAATTTGGAACTTGAGAATCAGGGTTAGGAGTGGTGAGGGGCATAGTATCTTTTTTAGAGTTAATCTTTTGTCCACACTGAATCCCTTCTAGTCTTCCAAGTTGATTTCCTTACCTTTTTTTTGCCAGGAATTTTGAGCTGCCCTGGTTGGATGAGCGTAGCCGATGCAGGTTGGAGATCCAGAAGAAGCAAACACCTCACCGGACGTGTAGGAAATAGCTGAACTGGCAAGAACCTTCTGTCTTCAGATAGTTGTAGCATGCCATTTCCCAGAGAATGGCAGAGACCTGTATGTGTGACCTATGTCCTCATGTATGTTATCATTCGCTGATAATGCCCTTCCATACTCCCTTGATCTTGTTTTGTTTTCATCACTCTGATTTCGCAAAAACTCTCATTGGCCTAATTGTGAATTATGGAGGGTGGTTGGGATTTCTTTTCCCTTTTTGGGGAAATGAGCTCTCAAGCTAAATCTATAGGATGGCAGATCCGGAAGCCTCAGGGGTCTGCTTCTCTACATTTGCCTACGTTAAAGGGGTAAAAGGGCTCTCTTCGTTAGACTTGTGGAAGATGAAGCAACCCCTGCCTGTAGAGCCGTGCCTGCATGGCACTCTTCTCGCCCTGGTATACCCTTTCCTTAGAGTTTGAGTATAGTGGTGTTTACCCTAAAACAAAACAAAAAACCTCACCATGAGCTTAAGGACCAGATGAGGAATAAAAAGTGAAGTGATGAAGCAAGTCATCTTCACAGGGTAGAAAAGAGATTGAAAAGTTGGCAGATAAATGTCTGAAAAGACAGTTGTTCTCTTAAAACTATTCTGTGATACAGCCATGTGGGAAGGAATTTGTGCTGTGATTATTTTCTTAGTTAATGGATAACTGAATTTCTTCCCCCATTCCTCAAGAAATAAAATCCTTAGAAAAGAGAATGGGGATGGTTAGTTTTGGGCGAGTTATGATTCTAAACAAAAGCAATTGCCTTTTGAGAATGGCATGCCAGAACCTGTATAGATGTCCTTGTGTCACATCACTTCTCAAGTATTCCTTAGTTGGGCTTTATTCTTTTAGCTGAGCTCTCGGTGGTGGGATAGATTTAGGGAGGGTGGGGGGTGTATGTGGAAATATGTGCTTCCTTTGGTTGGCAAATGTCTACATCTTGAAACAAACAGATGTACCTAATGAGCTTCTCCATTCACTTTGTAAAAATAGATTTGTATGTGTATCATCTTGGTCCCCCTTTCCCCCCATTTTGTTAAAAAATTTCAGGACAGCACTCCAGGCCACTTTGGTCTCAGTGTAAGATCCCTGTAACTATCTGGAAGGAAAATAGAGCCAAGACCTCTGGTCTTAAATATATAGGAATTGCCTTTCTTTAGTCTTCATGACTATTGTGTGAAAACAAGTAGGGGTCTAATCTCCTAGAAGGTAGGGGCTTTTATCCTTGAAGAGAATATGTCCCCAGATTATTAGCACTTTTAGAGGAGAAGCCAAGGTATGTAGGGTGTGTGGCCGGCCCATCAATGGAGCATGAGAGAATGGGGATACATCCATTGTGGGAAGAAAAGAAAAGTTCCTCAGGGGCCTCCCACTGCTAAAGATTTCTGTGACATGTTGATCTGTGCTCCCTGGGTTTGACTTTTAAAGGAATTATTCCGGCAGCCCATGTAGTATTCTTGGATGATCTTGCTGCTTTTATTTCTCCGTGTGTGTGTGTGTGTGTGTGTGTGTGTGTGTGTGTGTGTGTGTGGCTATGGGTTTTCATTTGTAACTCCCATCTGCTTAGGAGAGTGGGCTCTCCACAAGGGAACCTGCTGTGAACTTCATTGCAGCAAGAGTGTAGAGAGAAATAGGACTTATTCCACTAGGGGCTCTCATCTCACACCTTAAGGGGAGGAAGGAGATTTCTAGAAAAACTGGGCCAGATTTTCTTTGTTCTCCATCATTTTAATATGACAAGCTGTTTGGCTTTCCTACTCTGACCTGTGTTATGTTCCTTTATAATGTGCCCAAGAAGAAAAAAGACCGATCAGTGTCTTTTTACGTTGTTCCTTGATTCCTCTGTTTCTTCTTGATTTTCAGCATTTGTCGGATTCCTAATTTGGATATGGGTTAGCAAATATAACCTCTGTGTTTGTGCCCTACCCAGGGGACTCCCCAGATTCTGAACTTGAGCTAGACTAAGAGGAATCCATGAGGTGCTATCTGGCCAGACTTAAGTGGATTCTATTTCCTTGGTTCTCCCTCTTACCTAGGACTGCTCATTTTATTGTCCCCTCTTCTAGATCAGTTCTCCTTTGATTTGGATGTGTTAAATGTTGAGGAGGTTGGAGAGTAGATTAGCAAAATTCCAAGAGCGAAATTACAGTGTGTTAGAGTGTGGGGGGAAAATTAAGTCTTATTTTTTCCCTACATGGGATACAACACTGTGAAATTCAATCTTCAACAAAGGCCCTGCAATTCTCCTAAAACATAGTTCTTTGTTTCTTTCTTTAACAAAGTTTAAGCTAGTGTTAATAAATTAAAAAGAGAAATTGCTTGTCTGTCCACTTCAGCTTTGTTTTATGCCCATTTCATATTGTTGTCTGTGTTGTAATTCATACTTTTGATACCATTTCTGATGTGTAAAATTGGTTGTCTTGTAAATATCTTATAAAGAGTTCAATTGTAAATAAACTATTGTGGCTGTTAATTTTTGAACTTCTGCTTCAATTTATTAGACTTATTGGGAAGCATTAAACAGTTCTGCTGTAGATATTAAAAGATTAGAAAAAGAAATCCATTTTCACAAAATAAGAGAAATATACCATTTTCTCTTTTGTGTATGAGCACAACGTATGTTTTTCATCCCTCTTTGTTCTGTGTTCTCCCTTACACATAAGGTAAGTGGCAACTTTAAAAACAAAATCCTAGGATAGGATACTTGGTGCCTGCTGTCTAAATGAATAAAACCTCATAGTTGAAAAGACCTTAGAGGTCATCTAGTCTGACCCCTAATACATAATTTCCCCTTGACAACATTCCAGACAAATGAAGTCCAGCTTCTGCTTCAATGCTTCATTTTTTTCTATGCATTTTCCCCTAAATGTTAGAAAATCCTTCACTGATAAAATCTAACTTCTTGTAACTCCAACCCATTGGTTCTTGGTTTGCCTTCCAGGGTGATGAAAAAAGATCAATTCTTCCTGTTTCTCATTGTCTCTTGAATAGTTAGATTGCTGTGGCTATCTCAAATCTTCTCTTCATGGTAAACATTCAGAGAGCTTACACTTGTTCCTCAAAAGCGAGGATTTTGAGTTTTTCAGTTCCTTCTGAGTGAACAAGTTGCTCACGTTCATTTAAAAATTGAACCCAGACCAAACAGCTGAAAGGTAAAGTGGCAGATTATCACTTTCCTTATTTAGACACTTAAGTTGGCAGCTTCATTTGCATCAATTTACCTTCTGATAGAAAAGATCCTCCAGATCTTTCTAACACTTATTAAATCATACATCCTCCATTTTGAACTCAGGCATCTGGGTTTTGGAAATGGATTTACAAAAGTTGTCAAATTTGGCCACTTGTTTAACCAGTTGAGATCTTTTTGGATCCTGAATCTATCTATGAAGGCATTCAGAATGCCTTCTAGTTTCGTGTTGTCTATAAATTTGGTCAACATCAGATCTTTAGCCATATAACTTGTAAAAATACTACACAGGACAGAATCCTGTGCAATCCTGTCCTGTGCCATGCAATAGTGACCTTTCTCTGTTTGATATATATTATTAATGTGCACTCCTGTAGGTACACTAATAGCTTATGCATTTTGAATGTACATATTATGGTCCAAAGAAAATGTCCTTTTTTTTTTGTAATTGCTGACAAGGCTTTTGACAAAGTCTTGCCAAAATCAAAGCATTCCCCTAATCTACCTGTCTGGTAACCCTTAAGAAGGAAATCATGTCAGGCTATTGAACCGCTAGTTCCTATGATCATCTTTTTTAAAATCGGTTCCAAAATCTTGGTTAAGTCTAGCATCATACCACCCAGCGCTTTGGGAGAAGTGATAGCTGGAGTGGGAAGATACAAGAAGAGGACATGAGAAAACAGAAAACATGGTAGTGCTGCAACACTAAGTCCTCGAGCTTCACTGCAGACAACTGATTTCTCCTTCATCTTTAGTTTCAAATGGGCTGCTGTGGCAAATCTGATGCAGCACAACAGCTTTAGAGATTTACCTTGACTCGTGATTTTACCAAGCAAACGAACGCAGTAAAATGATCGGCTTCAAACGTAGGTAGAAACGGAAATAGAAAACTATGAAACAGCCCCAATGCCGCAGTGAAGCTGTGACAGGTGGGCGCCTTCCACTCGGAAGGCCCAAGATGGCTGGGCGAGGAACCGGAGGCGGCAGCCGGAGCTCAGCTCCCCTCGCCGGGGGCCCACCCCAGGGAAGACAGGGGTCGCGGCACGCCCCCCGTACGTCACCGGTTACGTAATCCCGCTCGCCGGCAAACGTGCCGCAGGGCGGCCGCCCCACCCCTAACCCCTCCCCCTGAAAAGCGCGGCGGCCAGTGTCGCACGTGAAGCATGCTGGGACTAGCTCTCGAGACTCCCGGCAGCCCCTGCGACGGGCGCGGTACGTAAGGAGCTGGCCGTCGGCGGCCGTTCTCCGTAAGATGGCGGATCGGCGGCGGCAGCGCGCTTCGCAGGACACGGAGGACGAAGAGTCTGGTGCTTCGGGCTCAGACAGCGGCGGCTCCCCGGCGCGGGGCGGCGGGAGCTGCAGCGGTAGCGCTGGAGGCGGTGGCAGTGGCTCTCTGCCTTCCCAGCGCGGAGGCCGAGCTGGGGCCCTTCATCTGCGGCGGGTGGAGAGCGGGGGGGCTAAGAGCGCTGAGGAGTCGGAATGTGTGAGTGCGCGCGGGTGGGGCGGGCCCGGGGGCGGGGTGTAGGTGGTGAGGGGAGGCTGGGAGTTGATGGTAGCTGCTGGGGCATACTGTGTTAGAGAAGAGAGCTATCACAGTGCAGTGTGCATCCGGAGCCCCAAGGGAGGAGGAGGTGTTAGGGTTTCTGGGAGAAGGGCAGAGGCGCTGCACGTGAAAAGCGGATGTTTATTCAGAAATTGGGGCTGGAAGTGAAGAGGCTGGACCTTCCTTGGTCGCTACTTGTTAAAGATGTACCTTTCCTCATCTTCCTGTTCACCCATTTTCGTGTTGAGTCTTTAACTCCCCGCCCTTTGGAAATCACGGAACTAACCTATGTCCTCTTTCCTTCAGGAGAGTGAAGATGGCATCGAGGGCGATGGTGAGTAGCATCATGACAAGTTTTTTGACTGTAAACTCAGATCACCTATTTCCACCAATTGACATCCCCTCAGACTGTTAAGGATTTGGGAGAGGGTGCCACAAAGTGGCTCTTTGTAGCAGAGTGCCTACAAGCTTACGTTTTAGCAGTATGATCTTGGGCAAATCACTCTTTGATCCTGTTTCTCATTTGTAAATGCGGACTATAATTTTACCTCTCTGATAGGTTGATGTCAGAATTGAATGAGAGTCTTAGTTTGACTTAAAAAGCAATCAGGAAATATATTTATAATAATTGATGTTGATTGTTTTCTTTACATATTTCTGTTTTCTTTCAGCTGTTCTGTCGGATTATGAAAGTGCAGAAGACTCTGAAGTGAGTGTGATAGGTTCTTTTTTTCTATGGCTATAGGTTGGAAGTTTTTAAATGTATTTTAAAAACATGGACACACCTGTGGTTCAAAAGTACTATGACCTCCTTGTTATTTCTCTTGTGCATTCTTCATTTATGCTTTTCAGAAACTGTTATAAAAGGTCTTGTTTACTTAGAGTGAGGGAAGTTTGGTGCATGCCTTTTCAGGTTTCATATGTTAACGCGCTTAGTAGTTGGCTTTTCACCCTGTCCGAAGAAAACAAGGTTCTAAATAGGAGAATGAGAACATCCTGAAGCCCTTCACAGGATGGCAGTTCTTTTCATGCTGCCTAGGGAATGAAACCAGCTAGTTGGATATTTTTTTCAAGTGTATCTGAAAACCTTAAAAGGGCAGGATTTTGAGTGGTTTGTATCAGAAACATCCCTCAGTTTATAGGGAGCTTTCTCCCTCTTAAATTCAGGAGAAAATTTCCATAAGCCAAGCTTTTGTGGCCTTACTTGTTTTGGTTGGATGAACTACTAGAGATGCTATGTGAATGGCTGTTTGTTTCCTGGGGTTGTTGAATATTAAGTCCTGAGTTCTGGAATTTGGGTCATGGGGTTATGGACAGGAGGAATTGGATTATGGATCAAAGGTTCATTCTATAAATTTTATAGAACTGTTGCTACATATTAGATTTCTATTAAGTCCTAGAGATGTAACAGTGAACACTACTAAAATTTCTGTTTTTAGGAATGAGGAAGTCAGATAAACATGCAGACAGTCATAGGACATGGTGACAACTGCTAGGGATAGGGTTAAGTAGGGTATTAATGGCTGAGTACTGAATCCATCTTAGGCAATCAGGAAAGAATAAGTTGGAGTTAGGCCATGTTTTAGGCAGAGGGAACAACTGCTGTGAAAGTCCAGACACAGGAGAGAAGACTGATTATTTGGAAACTTGAAAGTAGTTTGGTGTGGCTGGAACATTGTTGGAATAGGATGGGTATCAGAAATAAAGGCAAATCAATGAACAGGGGCCAGATCATGAAGGGCTTTACTTGTTCCTTGTCCTCATTATGTACTTGCTGTGTGCTAGGAGTTGTACTAGGCACTGGAATAAAAGACAGACATGGTTCTGCCCTCCTGGAATTTACGTTTTGGGGGAAAACAGACAAGTAATTACAGTAATGTTTGGTAAGTGTCACACTATCAGAAGCATAGGGTGTTTCGGGAGCACATGGCAGGGGCAGCCAACTAACTGTTTGGAAATGCTTAGAGGATGAGATGTTAAAATAGAGACTTGAAGGGTGAGTGGGAGTGAGCCAGGCAGAGTATTCTAAGCAGAGGAAACACTGTCTGGGAAGAAGGTCTTAAAGGGATGGACTGTATGACAGGTTGGAGGATATGAAAAGTTTAGTGTGACTGTTGATAAAAGATGAGTCTGAGTCCAAATCTTAAAATACCTTGTGAACCCTATTAAAATGTATTTGGATTTTATTCTAAGGAAGTGAGAAAGCGTAACAGGGTTTTAAACAAGTGTGTGATATGGATTAGACTTAAATTTTAAAGATTTGTCAGATCCAAAGAACACCTGCATCAGAAAATCCATTTGGCCAGTTCTGTTGAAATAAGATCTTGCAGAGGGAGGGAAGACTCAGACATTTATATGTTAACAAGATCCCAGATTGATGTTTATGCACAGTAAAATTTGAGAATTACTATTTTATAACAGTTACTTTGTCAGCAATGATAGTTGATCTGAGGGGAGCAAGATTGGAGGCAGGAAAGCTAGTTAAAGCTATTATGGAAGCCTAGGCAAGCAGTAAGTGTGGCCTGGAGTGGAGTAGTAGCAGTGAAAGTAGAAGTGGACAAAATTGAAAGTTATTTAGGTTATAGAATTCACAAAATGTGGTGATTAATGAGATGCCTTATTTTCTCTGAAGTCAGCGATGAAGTTATCTACAAAAAGCAAAAGGGAGATAAGTTTGGGGGTGAGGAATGTTTGCAGTAGTCACTAGAGAATGGAAACCCTGGAAAGATTGTCAGGCAGTATGGAGTGTTCAGTGAGGTTTGGTGATTGTGAATTTATAGTAAGATGCTTCTGTATATAAATGAATTTGGATGTTATCCTAATAACGAAAGAAGGCTACTGAAGGCTTAAGTACGGAAGATGAAGCAAGACTTGGGACAGGGAGAGCTGTTAAGAGGTTGTTAGGATAAGCCAAGGAACATGATGGTGTCCTAAAGAAGAGACCCGGCAGTGGGACTCTGATTTGAGAGATGTTCAGGTGGTACTACCAGAACTTCTTGATTGATTGAACCTGGAATGTGAATTAAGGAGTCAAAAGGATGCCCAAGTTGATGAATGATGTTATTCACTAAGAACGGGACACAGATTTTAGGAAGGACACTGGTGGGTTAAGTTTTGGTTGTTTTGAAATTGAGGGACCTGTGGGACTTTGAAATGGCAATATATAGTGTATTTTGTCTGAAAATTAAGAAAAAGGTCTGGTTCTGCTCTGTCCAATACAGTGGTCATCTGCTAGATGTGGCTATTTAGTTAAACTTAAAACTTGAGTTCTTTCAGTTGCAAAGCCACATTTTAAGTACTCAATAGCCATGTTTGGCTAGTGGTTGCTGTATGGGACAGCAATGGTCCAGATTAGAGAAAAAGGCCTGATGTCCTGACTTTCATAGTAATGCATTACTTGCTTGCATTTTTCTTGGTTACTAACTATATGCCTATACACTACAGTTCAGTCTTGCCTGTTAAAATTTGATCTGTCTCTTAGTCTGCAGGTTAGTTTTTTATCCCTTTCTTTTCCATACAGTTTATCTGTTGAAAAGATTTTGATGATTGCTCGCTCACTCATGGTACAACTCAACGTGCTCCCTCTGTCCTTTGTATTTCCTGCAAATAATTGGTATTTCCAGATCCATGGAAAGACAACATGAACCAAAGATTTTACCTTGAACAAAACTGATAATCACTTAGTTTCGTTCCTTTTTGGTCACTTGTATTTTTGTCTAGATATTCCCAGTATATATTTTTTTAGGTCCAGGGGAGGAAACTGCTGTTCTCTTCTTCATTTTGTTTTCCTTATGAAATAGGAGGAAAGACACTGAGTAGGGAGGTTAGGGGAGGGAGGATCAGGGGAGGAATTGTCAGACTAAAGGAGGTTTAAGTAGTTGAGGTTGGAGGTGGCACCAATGTGTGAAGTTGTGTGATTTTTTTTTTTAAATCCCTTCATTGATGATTAATAGTCTGGTTGTAGACCTAGAAAAAGCAGACATTTGAGTTGATCTAGTCCTGGGCACAGGGGAGTGGCAAGGGACTTGGTGATTGGAATCTAGTAGTGATTGAAATAATGGGCCATGGAGACTAAAGAGAGGAAAGTGTGGAAAAAGACTGATAGGGAGAAGGTGAAGGGTCAAAGGAGTGGATATCTTAAGTTGGAGATGAGAGGGTAAGTGAATAAGTAAGAATAGGAGTAAAAGGCAGGGGTTTTTTTGTTTTGTTTTTTTGTCTGTTTTAAAGTAAACTCTAGGGGCGCGCCTGGGTGGCTCAGATGGTTAAGCGTCTGCCTTCGGCTCAGGTCATGTTCCCAGGGTCCTGGGATCGAGTTCCTCATTGGGCTCCCTGCTCCTTGGGAGCCTGCTTTTCCCTCTGCCTCTATCTCTGTCTCTCATGAATAAATAAATAAAATCTTTAAAAAAAAAATACTTTAAAGTAAACTCCAGGGACACCTGGGTGGCTCAGTTGGTTAAACGTCTGCCTGTGGCTCAGGTCATGATCTCTGGGCTCCTGAGTCGGTCCCTGCTCAGTAGGGAGCCTGCTTCTCCCTCTCCCTCTGCTCCTCCCCCTACTTGTGCTCTCTTGCTCTCTCTTTGTCAAATAAATAAATGAAATCTTTGAAAAATAATAAAAAAATAAATTCTACTCTCCCAATGTGGGCCTCAGACTCAGTGACCCCAAGATCAGTCAAGAGTCGCATGCTCTACGGGCTGAGGCAGCCAGGTGCCCCTAGGTAGGTTTTTTAAAAACAGCTTTATTGAGGGGGCACCTGGGTGGCTCAGTCATTAAGCGTCTGCCTTCGGCTTAGGTCATGGTCCCGGGGTCCTGGGATTGAGCCCCGCATCAGGCTCCCTGCTCAGCCGGGAGCCTGCTTCTCCCTCTCTCCCTCCCCCTGCTTGTGCTCTCTCTCTCTCGCTGTGTCTCTCTTTGTCAAATAAATAAAAATAAAATCTTAAAAAAAAAGCTTTATTGAGATATGATTTACAAACCATACAATTTATTTAAAATGTACAATTCTGGGCGCCTGGGTGGCTCAGTTGGTTAAGCGACTGCCTTCGGCTCAGGTCATGATCCTGGAGTCCCTGGATCGAGTCCCGCATCGGGCTCCCTGCTCGGCAGGGAGTCTGCTTCTCCCTCTGACCCTCCCCCCTCTCATGTGCTCTCTCTCTCTCTCTCATTCTCTCTGTCTCAAATAAATAAAATCTTTAAAAATAAATAAATAAATAAAATGTACAATTCTGTGGTTTTTGTGTATACACAGATATGTGCAACTATTACCACGATTAGTTTCAGAACATTTTCATCACCTTGAAAAGAAACCTTGTACCCTTTAGCTGTTACTCCCCCTGCCCCCCAGTTCCTCCATTCTTATACCCTGGTCCCTAAGCAATCACACATTTACTTTTTGTGTCTAAGAATTTTCCTGTCCTGGCCTTTCATATGAATGGAATCATATATGGACTTTTGTGACTGGCTTCTTTCACTTAGCATTAGGTTTCCACAGTTTTCATCCCTGTTGTACCATGTATCAGTACTTGATTCCTTTTTATGGCTGAGTAACATTCCATTGTATGGGTATACCACGTTTTGTTTATCTGTTCATTCACTGATGGACATTTGGGTTTCTGTTTTTTGTATTATGAATAATGTTGCTATAAACATTAGTGTACAACTTTTTGTATGGACGTATGTTTTCATTTCTCTTGGCTGTGTACCTAGGAATGGAATTGCTAAGTCATATAGTAACTGTGTTTTTTTCTTTTTAATCTTTTTTTCCCCCCAAAGATTACTTTTTATTTATTTATTTGGGAGAGTGAGCGAGCAAGCATGAGCAGGGGAGGGGCAGAGGGAGAAGGACAAGCAGACTTCCCACCAAGCGGGGAGCCTGAAGTGGGACCTGATCCCAGGATCACTACCTGGGCTGAAGTGGGATGCCTAATCCACTGCGCTACCCAGGTGCCCCATGGTAACTATGTTTAATCCTCTGAGGAACTGCCCAACTGTTTTCCAAAGCAGCTGCACCATTTTACATTCCCAACAGCAATATATGGAATTTCTTTATGTACTTGCCAGCATGTAATTGTCTTGCCTTGACTTTTTGATTCTATCCATCCTAGTAGGTGTGAAATGGTGCCTCATTTTGAATTTGCATTTCCCTGACGGCTAATGATGTTGAGCATTTTTCCTTGTGCTTTTTGGCCATGTGTGTATCTTCCTTGGAAAAAATGCCTATTCAGATACTTTGTCCATTTTTTAATTGGGTTGTCTTTTTATTGAGTTGTAAGAATTCTTTGTAAAATATTGAAGATACAAGTTCCTTATCGGATATGATTTGCAAATCTTTTTTTTCCCATTCTGTGGGTTTTCTTTTTACTTTCTTGATGGTGTCAGGTTTCAGTTTTGATAAAGTCCAATATATCTGGTTTTTCTTTTTGCTCCTGCTTTTGATATCCTATCTAAGAAGGCTTTGCTGAATGTGTGCGAAAACCAGAGTCTTGAAGATTAACTCCTGTGTTTTCTTACAAGAGTTCTATAGTTTTTGGGTGCCTAGGTGGCTCAGTTGGTTAAGCGGTTAAGCAGCAGGGTCCTGGGATCGAGCCCCGTGTCGGGGAGCCTGCTTCTCCCTCTCCCTCCGCCTGCTGCTCCCCCTGCTTGTGCGCTCTGTCAGGTAAATAAATAAAATCTTTAAAAAAGAGAGACTTCTATAGTTTTAACTCTTGAATTTAGGTTTTTGATCCATTTTGAGTTAAAAAATTTTTTTAAGAATTTATTCATTTGAGGGGCGCCTGGGTGGCTCAGTCGTTAAGCATCTGCCTTCAGCTCAGGTCATGATCCCAGGGTCCTGGGATGGAGCCCTGCATCAGGCTCCCTGCTCAGTGGGAAGCCTACTTCTCCCCCTCCCTCTGCCCCTCATCCCTGCTTGTGTTCTCTCTCTCTTGCTCGCTCTCCTCTCTTTTAAATAAATAAATAAAATCTTTAAAAAAAAAAAAAGGCTATGGGTAAAGGCTTAATCCTTACAGTGTGGGTGTGGTCTCTCTCAAATTGAAAGTTTCACAACGGTATTGCCTCTGTGGGAATCCTCACCCAGAACACAGAGGCTGAAACACCTGGAAGCTGAGCAGGGAAGAGGAGTTAATTGGCTTGTCTGGGCGGGTTGGGTAGACCCCACTCTGTTTGAAGAAAGGACAGAAACTTAGAGCTCAAGAGCTTCTTGTTGCATCAGGAATCTCACAGTGGAACTCTTTGATCACATTCCTGACGTTAGCCTGGGGCTGGAGTTATGAGAGGTCAAGTGTCAGACCCCCAGTAGGAGAATAAGACCAGTGTGCACAATATCTACCAGGTGGCAGAGGGGTATCGGCACCCTGACCTGTTAACCCGACAATGGGAACTAATCCAACTTTCTTTGAACCCATTTCTTTGTCTTCAGCTGTCTGAACCTACTACCCTCCCCTAGCCTATAGCTTTGCCCCCTGAGGTCCAAATCCTGAGAGAATTGTGAGAGTATTCTAAAGCCAGCTCAGCATGAGCTTTAGTTACTCCTTTAACCTGCCTAGAACTAGCCACACTTCTGTTACCTGACCCTTTCTGGTGGCCCCTATTCAGAAGATAGCCTAAGGACAGTCCTCTGTAAGAATAGACCCAGCAGTTTGTCACAAGCAGGATTATCTAATCTTGATGTGGCCGAGAGGGAAGACGTAGTAGAGAGGCAAGAGAGCATGTGGGCTTGGTTTTCATTTCTTTTTTTTTTTTTTGAAGATTTTATTTATTTGACAGAGAGAGACACAGCGATAGAGGGAACACAAGCAGGGGGAGTGGGAGAGGGAGAAGCAGGCTTCCCGCGGAGCAGGGAGCCCAATGCAGGGCTCGATCCCAGGACCCTGGGATCATGACCCGAGCCGAAGGCAGACACCCAATGACTGAGCCACCCAAGCGCCCCTTGGTTTTCATTTCTAAATTATATAATTCTGGAAACAGTTGTTGGCTAAGGGGATCTCATGCTACAGAAAATTGAGTATTTGTATCATAGATATAAAAAATGTAAGCCACTATTTCCCAGTTTGAGGGTTGAGAAATCATAGTGTTGGGGCCCCTGGGTGGCTCAGTCATTAAGCATCTCCCTTCGGCTCAGGTCATGATCCCAGGGTCCTGGGATCGAGCCCCACATCAGGCTCTCTGCTCAGCGGGAAGCCTGCTTCTCCCTCTCCCACTCCCCCTGCTTATGTTCCCTCTCTCTCTGTGTCTCTCTCTGTCAAATAAATAAATAAAATCTTAAAAAAAAAAAATCATAGTGTTATTACAAAGAGTTTGCAAGTTCGCTAGTTCAGCTCTTATTATTTATGGACTAAATCTACATCTTCCATCTTTATGCAGTACTGTTTTTGAAAATATAAATTAATACAATGTAAATTTATTTTGAAGTATTATTGAACGTATAGTAGTTGTTGGTCATACATTTTTTCAGTCAGTGGATATTATACTGAGCTGTTGTCTAATGGAGATCCATGAAAATTTTAGAGCCTAAAGGAGGTCCACATAATTAATCTAAAAAGTTGAGAATCTGCTCTAAGCCATTTTGACATGAGAGAATTCATAACTTGAGTTAGAGTGTAGTTTTTAGGCCTTGCATGTTTAGGAAACAATCCATGAAGATGGAGAGAAATTATCAACAAAGATTAGTCTTCTTCTGTATGCTAGGCAGTTTCAAGCCTCCCTTTCATATCTCCTGGGCTGCTTCCCTAGAGGCTACCACTGTTAACATTTCCTTGCATGTCTTCCTGGAAAACTTACATGGATCTATATAAATGTATGTATGTATATTTATTTTATTGTGTTTTTTTTTAAGTGCCCCATTCTCTAGAGATTTTAATAAGAGTATTGATATGTTTGCTTTTAATTCTTACATTACAGTAAAAGTTTATTAGAAAATGTTTACCTAAAGAATGGGGGAAAAAATGCACCATTTCCAACTGATAGAGTAACTTTTTTCAGGGTGAGGAAGGGGAATACAGTGAAGAGGAAAACTCCAAAGTAGAGCTGAAATCAGAAGCCAATGATGCTGCTAATTCTTCAGCAAAAGAAGAGAAGGGAGAAGAAAAGCCTGACACCAAAGGCACTGTGACTGGAGAGAGGCAGAGTGGGGATGGACAGGTCAGTGTCCACCAAAGGCCTCCATTTTGGGGGTCAGATTAAGGGCTCTTAACCTTGGAGAGAATAAGGAGCCTTTTATTTGTCCTCTAGGAGAGCACAGAACCTGTGGAGAACAAAGTGGGGAAAAAGGGCCCTAAGCATTTGGATGATGATGAAGATCGGAAGAACCCAGCCTACATACCCCGGAAAGGGCTCTTCTTTGAGCATGATCTTCGAGGGCAGACACAGGAGGAGGAAGTCAGGTAACAGCCTCTTGTTGCTGCTATTTAGTACGTATTTAGTGCTTGCTAAAGGCCAGGTGCTTTACTGATTTACTGCTCACAGTACTTTAAGGTTATTATGATTATCCCTTTTGTACAAATGAGGAAAGTGAGGCTTAGAATATTTGGTAACTCTTGGTGGAGGAGCTGGGATCCGGACGCATACTTCCACTGCCTTCCTTGGTCTGAGGCTCAAGCCTCTGGGACATGAAGTACTTGTGTAAACTGCCTTACAGGCGAGAGATGTTTCCAAGGTGCCGGGTAATTTGAAGTAAAGTCTCTTCCTCATTTCTGTGCCTGTTCTATTTGAGCCCAGCAGGCCCTGAGATGCTGTGATTCACTCTTGATTTTGTATGATCTGTCTGGGAAGATGGGGAGACCAGTGAAGTTCCTACTGTTTCTCTGCCCATCCCTCTTTTTTTTCGTGAACATCTTTACTTGGCAGAGTCTGCCAACCTAAGACACTTTTCCCTGGTTTTATCCAGACCCAAGGGGCGTCAGCGAAAGCTATGGAAGGATGAGGGTCGCTGGGAGCATGACAAGTTCCGGGAAGATGAACAAGCTCCAAAGTCCCGACAGGAGCTCATTGCTCTTTATGGCTATGACATCCGCTCAGCTCACAATCCTGATGACATCAAACCCCGAAGAATCCGGAAACCCAGGTGAGAAAATTTTGGAGTTTACGCTTACATTTGTAGAAAGAACTCTGCTTTTTAAAAATGCCATTCCAGCCTGTAATTCAGTGGATGAGGTATATGGGAAGTCTCCCTGACCCTCAGTTTATATCTCTAGTAGTCTCCTTTGTCATTTCTTTTCTTAAGACTTTTGCCATTCCATTTATTCAGGTTTGGGAGTCCTCCACAAAGAGATCCAAACTGGATTATTGAGCGGCCAAACAAGTCCCATCGCCACCAGGGTCCTGGGGGCACCCTACCACCAAGGACATTTATCAACAGGAATGCTGCAGGGACTGGCCGAATGTCTGCTCCCAGGAATTACTCTCGATCTGGGGGCTTCAAGGAAGGTCGTGCTGGTTTTAGGCCTGTGGAGGCTGGTGGGCAGCACGGTGGCCGTTGTGGTGAGACTGTTAAACATGAAAGCAGTTACCGATCACGGCGCCTAGAGCAGACTCCTGTGAGGGACCCATCTCCAGAAGCTGATGCTCAAGTGCTCGGCAGTCCCGAGAAGGAGGAGGTGGCCTCAGAGATACCAGCTGCTGCTCCCGACACTGCACCACCGGCCCCTGACAGGCCTGTTGAGAAGAAATCCTACTCCCGGGCAAGAAGAACCAGAATCAAAGCTGGAGATGCAGTCAAGGTTGCAGAGGAGGTGCCCCCTCCACCCGAAGGGCTGAACCCAGCACCTCAAGTCCCAGAAACGACCCCTCCTCCACCTGCTAAGACTGGAAACTGGGAGGCTCCAGTGGATTCTACTACAAGTGGACTTGAGCAAGATGTGGCACAACTAAATATAGCAGAACAGAATTGGAGTCCAGGGCAGCCTTCGTTCCTGCAACCACGTGAGCTTCGGGGTAGGTACCTTAGGGTTAGTGACTAGCTTTTTTCCCTGTGCATCATTGGGTTTGTGGGCATGGGATTTAGGTCTCAGGGATATGGGGTCTGACAAATATCTTTGTTTTCATTAACTGAAAGAAGTGGATGGATTCATAGGTGTATTCATCCGGAGACCTCAGAGAAGTTTTATCTGTTACCCAAGACTACCCCTACTACTTTGCCTACTATTACCTGACTAGTCATCAGTATGGAGCTCCTGCATGCAGAATCTTTTACCCATTCTCTGTAGGAAAAGTTGAAAGCAGGTGGGCAGTGTTCTTACTATATGAGCTAATGGTTAAATGTTTGAAGGCGGAAACTTACTCATTTGAATTTGGATGAGAATTGTCTAGTCTATTTGAAAGGAAAGCCTAATTTCCTTAATGTAGAGGTAGGCTGCCCAATAGAACTTTCTATAGTATAAGCTTTTGAATACTTGTAATGTGGCCAGAGTGACTGAGGGACTGAACTTTTAATTTTAATTAATTGAAATTTAAATAACCACTTGTGGCTACTGGATATCATGTTGGACAGCATAGTTCTAGAAACTAGGACCTGTCTACCACCGTTCTTGCCCATCCGTCTTTGTCTCCCTCCAGTCAGGTAAATCAAAGGATCTTTTCCTTAGTTTCTGAAATCTGTTTTGAACTTAAAGATTGGAAATCCTCATTTGGACTGGGAGTTTCAGCATCCTTCTTTGGTGTGCATGATTTTTGAATACCAAAAACCAGTGTAGCCTAAACTGGACTTGGAGTTGATCTTTGGATGGAGGAGTATACCCTTCTACCTGGTATCTTATTACCATTGGAAGACAGTCTCTAAAATATCCTTTTTTTTTTTTTTTTTTTTTTTGTCCTGAGACATTTTCAGCCAGAGGGGAGTTTCTTCCCAAACTTCAGCCTAGAACTCTGTGGCCAGGAATAATCAGGCAGATTCACAGAATGTCCAGTTGTTGTCCAGAAACTTTAGGGCTGGGATTTTTCAGTATGTTTTATAATGCTGATTATAACCTCCCATGGATTCTGTACAGGAAGTATTTGGTGGGAAGATTGCATTTTCTTTTTTTTTTTTTTTAAGATTTTATTTATTTATTTATTTGAGAGAGAGAATGAGATAGAGCATGAGACGGGGGAGGGTCAGAGGGAGAAGCAGACTCCCTGCTGAGCAGGGAGCCCGATGCGGGACTCGATCCTGGGACTTCAGGATCCTGACCTGGGCCGAAGGCAGTCGCTTAACCAACTGAGCCACCCAGGCGCCCGAAAATTGCATTTTCTCATTGAAGTCTTTTTTTTTTTTCTTCATATTCAAAGGCTTTATTGTTGTGTTAAGGTTGCAGAAAGTGGGGGCAAATTTCCAAATGCTGGTATTGACAGGAAACAGAGATAGTTTAAAAGGAATTTTGTCAGTTTAAAAGAAGGCGGCAATTCCCTGTGTTGGATTCTTAAACTTGTCATTTTCTTGATGTTCTCTTTAGTCCCACTCATATCTATCTGCTCTGTAGCCGTGACTTTTTTTGCTGTATCACAGGTATGCCCAACCACATGCACATGGGAGCAGGACCTCCACCTCAGTTTAACCGGATGGAAGAAATGGTACAGAAAGGGAAAGGGAGTAGTTGGGGGAGGGGCCTGCATGCAACAGCTGTTCATTGTTTAAACTAAGATAAGGTCTTGGGAGTCAGTGTTCCATTGATTTACCCATATTTCTTTTAATTTGGCTCTCCAGAAAGGGTAGCAAGGCCTGGGTTCAGATCTTGATGTTTCTCATTGGTTTTTCTAATTCATTTTGCAAATACCCTTTTTTTTTTCTTTTCTTTTCTTTTTTCTTTCTTTCTGTCTTTCTTTGAGAAAGAGTGCAGGGCAGGGAGGGCAGTGGCGCAGAGGGAGAGGGAGAAAGAGAACCTAAGCAGTTCTCCACGCTCAGCTCAGTGGGGAGCCCGACACGGGACTGTAATCTCATGACCTTGAGATCATGACCTGAGCCAAAATCAAGAGTTGGATGCTTAACTGACTGAGCCCAGGCGCCCCTACTCTTTTTTTTTCTCACTTTTTTTTAAGTAATCTCTACACCCATGTGGGGCTCAAACTCACAACCCCAAGATGAAGAGTTGCATGCTTTTATGACTGAGCCAGTCAGGCACCCCTCATTTTGCAAATACTGTTTAAACATGTGCTATGTACCAAGTGTGTGTTTGGCAGCACCTAAAGTAGGGTGGGACTTGATATGAGAGTCAGCCCTCTGGCAGTCTTTTTGCTCAGACCTCTTTATTTCAGGGTGTCCAGGGTGGGCGAGCCAAACGCTATTCATCTCAGCGGCAAAGACCTGTGCCAGAGCCCCCTGCTCCTCCTGTGCACATCAGTATCATGGAGGGACATTACTATGATCCACGTGAGTTTTCTCTTATTGGGGCACCTTTCCCGGCAGCGTGAAGTGAACTAAGAGACCAGCCTCTTGCCTCCTGGATTTCCCTTCTGACTTCTCACAGTGGTTATCAAACATTGTCTGGCTGCTGTTTTCTTCACATGGAAAATTGAGAGCATTTTTTTTTTTTTAAAGATTTTATTTATTTATTTAACAGAGAGAGACACAGAGCAGGAACAAGCAGGGGGAGTGGGGGAGGGAGAAGCAGGCTTCCCGCTGAGCAGGGAGCCCGATGCAGGGCTCGATCCCAGGACCCTGGGATCATGACCTGAGCCGAAGGCAGACGCTTAACGACCGAGCCACCCAGGCGCCCCAAGAGCATCTTTTAAAGGGTTTGGGGGACAATAAGAGTGAGGGTTTATGAGAGTCCCAATGTGATATCTTACAGTGCAGTTCCAGGGACCAATCTATACCCATGGTGACAGCCCTGCCTCACTGCCTCCTCAGGGCATGATTGTGCAGCCAGAAATGCACCTTCCCCACCCAGGTAAGCTTTGCACCTCTGCTTATATGCTTCCAGTACGTGATGATATGTGTTGGGGGCTTCACAAACTCCATCCTCCTGAGCTCTGTGCTGCTTGCTCACAAGGCTAGCCACTCTGGCAGCTTGGGCAACAAACTCCTCTTGGGTCCATCCTGAGGACTTCCATCCTGAGTCTGTGCTGAGCAGGGCAGCCAGGCCATCCCATGGAAATGGTGCCATCCTCTATTTCAGTTTTTGTTTTCCTCTTCCTGTCCAGGTTTACATCCCCACCAGACACCAGCACCTCTGCCCAATCCGGGCCTCTATCCCCCACCAGTGTCCATGTCTCCAGGACAGCCACCACCTCAGCAGTTGCTTGCCCCTACTTACTTTTCTGCTCCAGGCGTCATGAACTTTGGTAATCCCAGTTACCCTTATGCTCCAGGGGCACTGCCTCCCCCACCGCCGCCTCATCTGTATCCTAATACGCAGGTGAGATGGCTAATGCGCAGATTTTTCTAGGTACGCATCCTTTAAATCAGACAAGGATGTGGTATGGGGAGAATGCTTAAGGAATTTGAGAGAACATTTCAGTGCCACTGATTTTGCATGTGGCACCAGGATGCCTCTTGGTGTTCAGGAGCTGGAAATGCAGCTTATGTAATGCCCATCATCTATTTATTCTCTTCTGTTTCTTTTTTCCTTTTTAAAGATTTTATTTATTTGAGGGAGAGAGAGAGCGCGCAAGTGTGAGCAGGGGGGAGGGGCAGAGGGAGAAGCAGGCTCACGGGACTTGATCCCAGGCCCCCGGGATCATGACCTGAGCCACTCAGGCGCCCTCTTCTGTTTCTTTAATGATGTTTCATTCAGGTGTTTTGGTATGTCTTAGGTGGCTGTCTTTGCCGTTTATTCAGTTGAATAAAGAAGCTGTATTGTCCTTACCCCTCCCTGTACTGCTTAACTCCCAACAGGTTGAAACCATCTTGTATGTGAAGTGTCACCACTGAGCTCAGCCTCTTTCATTTTTCAGTTGATGGTAGGAATTAGAGAAAGCTAAGTAGTACTTTGAAGAAGTAGAAACCAGAACATAATTAGGATATAGTAAGGCAGAAATGAATAATCACTTATTTTAAAGGGGGCAGCTTAGAGATTTATAAAATTCCTCACTACTTTTATTTTTGTGCCCGAATAATGTTTCCTGTTCATCATAGTTTAGGTGAATGTATCCCTAACTTTTTCTTCTGCCTTATTGGGGTCCCAGGCCCCATCACAGGTATATGGAGGAGTGACCTACTATAACCCCGCCCAGCAGCAGGTGCAGCCAAAGCCCTCCCCACCCCGGAGGACTCCCCAGCCAGTCACCATCAAGCCCCCACCACCTGAGGTATGAGAGCTGCTTCCAACATCACTGGGCTTTCCTTTCCCCTAGAAGATTTCTCCTTTTCTGGGTGTGTCTCCATGGTTGGTTGGTTGGTTGTTTTAATGACTGGTAACAAATTCTAACTTTGTTATTTCAGGTTGTAAGCAGGGGTTCCAGTTAATAGGAGTTTCTAAAAAATTTAAATCAAACATATAAAAGTAAGTATATAATGTATTACGATTCTTATAAATTCTTAAAACTAATGCTCATGCTTACTTGCTTAACAATCCCCTAATTAGTGCTTTAAGCTGTAATCATGAGGTATCTTATGGGGAGGCTTACAGGAGTCTCAAAATTTGCCAGATGCTTTGTTTTGGGAATGCACTGAGCAGGGTTGAAGCAGAAACCATTGTTAACTTGGCAGAATTTCATTTGGGAAGCTGCAAGGAAAAAATGCAGGACGGTTTTGTTTTTGTTTTGTTTTGTTTTTTTAAGGAAAGGAGAAATCTAAATTTGAGGTATTTGCAGCAGAGCCAATTTTAAAGGTCATGGAGAAAGACCATGGGGGTTTTGTTGTTGTTTTGTTAGGGACTTTATTTTAAAACACATTATTTAGAAATGTGGCTTTTTGAAAACAGCTCGTAAATGCCCAGAAGGTCCACTAATGCTTTGCTGATTCTTCCCTTTTCCCCACCACTGTCAGAGAACCCAGGAAAGAAGAGAAATACAACTGGCTGTTTACTACCAGGAAGGCTTCAAAGATACAGGGTGGCTCCTACCGGCAAGCAGCTGAATGAGAAGGACCCCTGCCTTCCTCTGAGGACAGGCTCTGTTGGAGAAAGGGACAAACAAGTGGACTCCTCCCATCTCCACTCTTTACTTGAGTTGGCTTTGCTCAGAAGAGCAGAGATCCAGTCAGCTCAGGCTTCTGGGTCTGCATCTAGAAGCCCCTGTCTTTTACTCTTCTTCATTTTTTCCTGGGAAATTCAAATGTCTTCTCCCAGGGAAGCTTTTTCCTGTTTGTTTTGTTTCCTAAGATGTTCGTTTTTAAAGCCTGGCTTGCTATTCTTAAATTAATATTCTTTTAGTTTCTTTCTCTCAATGCCTTTAAGTGAGACAGGTTCATTCTTCTGATTTTCTAGCTCCTCTGGTTTCCGTTTTGGATTTTCCCTGCATCCCAGATAATTGAAATTTTACCAGCCAGTTTTCCCCCACCAAGCCTGCAAAGAGGTGGCCTTTCATTTTTGGCTGGCCTTTGTTATTATATACTTGGATTCTCTTAATTCCTCTAACCCTGTGGAAGCAGAGCTGTCCACAGAGTGTCTCATTGCGGAGAAAAACTCAAAGTGTGTGGTAGGAGTCCTTCTTCTTGACTTCGGTTTTCAGGAATCTGAGCCTCCATCAGTCCCTGTACTGTGGTAGGCATCAGTCCTCTGCTTGAGGGCAAAGTCTTTTACAGTGGGGAGAGGTGGCAAACCAGATGATTTTGTGAGAAAGGGAAAGTGGAGTAAGCTTTTGCACCTTAGGGGTCTGTATTCCCATAGTCCTCAGGGCTCAGTCTTTGAGGTAAGTGGAATTAGAGGGCCCTGCTGCTCTGCTTTCCATCCTCCCTACCACGCCCCCTTCCCCGTTGCTGTGGACCAATGCATCTCTCTAGAGGCAGATACTGTCCAGCAAGCGGTCTGTCTTGTACTTTGCAGTTGCTCTTCTCCATGTCTTTCCTGCTACAAGTGTTTTAGATGTTACTATCTGATTTTCCCCAAGTTCTGCTCCTGTCCCTGCAAACTGAAGAAACCACATCTGGGCTTCTGGCCTAAGGAAACCAGTCACTTTCGGGGCAAGGGCTCCTCCCTCTTTTCCTCCCTATCCACAGCGCTGAACCACTCCCCTGCTGCCTCTGCAGAAGAGATTCCTATTGCTGCAGCACTTGTGTTTGCCAGGAGTAACTTGGCCACTGTCCCTGTCCTACAGAACCTGAGGGAGATGGTGGTGGCTGTGTCTCCCCAAGTAATGTCACTGTTTCCTACCTTCTCTCTAGCAGCTGATCTAACCACTCTTGAATCACAGGTGTAGGGTGGGGAGTGGGGAGAGGCACTCAAGCTGTAAACCCCAAGGAGGAAATAACTAAGAGATTCTTCCAGGGGTGGCTGGTGGTTGTGCCTTTGTAGGCTGTCCCCTTTGCCTTAAACCTGAAGATGTCTCCTCAAGCCTGTGGGCAGCATGCCCAGATTCCCAGACCTTAAGACACTGTGACAGTTGTCTCTGTTGGTCCACTGTGTTTCTTTGCAAGAATTTCTCCATGTGTGTTGTTGTTGTTGTTTGTTACTATTTTAAAGGGTGCACATTTGTGATCAGCATTGTGACTTGGAGATAATAAAATTTAGGCTGTAAACTTGGCTCCTTTGCCAGTGTTTTGCATGAGTCTTGATTGGGAGGGATAGGAGAGGACTTGCTCATTCCCCAGAGCCACAGTCACAACTCAAGCCAACTCAAGACTTGTGAAATGGAAGCCCTGAGAGGTGAGGAGCCCACAGGTGTGTTTGTGTACTCCCCATTGGTTATCTTATCCTAATGCCCTTGTCACATAGACCCAGGATACCATGCAGTCCCTTGGATTGGAAGTGTCAGGGACAGAAAAACTAATGAAACGGAGCTATCCTTGTCGCCTTTGTTAGTGTTTGGCAAGTGAGTTTTCCAGTGTAATGTGCCCCAGGTCAGTACAACTGTACCAGGTCCTAGAAGAGGGGGAGGCACAGGTGGTTAGCTTTCTTCTTGAAAAGTAAAGACACGCTGGCACTAAAGTACCAAGAACCACAGCCTAAGAGGAAGGCTTCTCTCAATCTTCGTCAAGGTTAAGAGGAGCAATTGAGACCATCAGCTGTGGCTTATGCTGCCAGTTACCAAGGCCACTGGGCCCTTGATGTGCACAGGTCATTTCCTAGCTTTGTTTTCTTCCAGATCCTGAGTGGGGTGGAAGTTTACTACAGAGGTTGATCTGGTGTGGGGGAACAATTGAACTGAATGTGGAGCTGGTGGCATCTGTTCTTGGGTACCACAAATCCTTGTACACTGGGGGCATGGCATCATAGTATACCTTAAAATAGTTGGGACTCCCCCTACATCCCTTGCTGTGGCTTGAGCTTGCAGACCATGACTCTTTTAACCCCTATCCCTAATTCCTCTTCATGTCCATTTGTTTTCCTCCTCCCCCACAGGGTGATGGGTAACTATGAACCTGATCTCCTGGGGTCATGCAAAGAATGCCAGCCAGTCTTGGGGGTAGGTTACTGGCAGGAGGAATGGCTGTTAAGATGCTTCCCCCTCACCCCTGCCTCTTGCTTCCCCGGTCCTGCAGTTAGATCCCATTGCTCTCTGTTGCCCTGGTAACGAGCTCTGCGAGAAGAAACTCAAGCTCAGCAAAGCTCCCAGGTTGTCTGCCCTACCAGCCCGCCTCTTGGTGGGCAGAAAGGGAGTACAAAGGGCAGACAGATCAGCCTTAGGTAGCCTTGCCCCATCCCCTTCTAGGGGCTGGGCTCAAAGTTGTTTTGCCACCATCTCACAGTTGTTACTGATACCACTCTTGATAATTCTTCCATGCCGCCCCTCCTCCTCTGTGGGGTCAGCGCACAGGCCTACTACCTTGTGGGTGATCCAGAACAGTAAGAACTTCAAATCCTGAAGTTGTCTGCCAGCATTGGCAGCCCACTTGGTTTGGGTTGTCCCTCTGGGGCAGTGATCCTCAACCCTGGCTATTTGAATCACTTGGGGACCTTTTATGTGTCATCCTTGTGCAGGGACCAAGCTAATCTCTATATAGTTCCAATTTTAGTATATGTGCTGCTGAAGCGAGCACCACTTGGGGATCTTTTAAAAAATACCAGAAACCTTGGCCTTGCCTCAAAGATTTAATTGGTTTAGAGGGTGGCCTAGGCATCAGTATTTTTGAGAAGTTCCCCTGGATCCCGGTGTGCACTTGGGGCAAGAACCAGTGTTCTAGGAGGGCCATAACTCAGTGCTGGCTTTCCTTCCTGATTCAAGTCCTTGAACTTAGTCTCTGTCCAATATCCTTGAGTGGTTGCAGGGGTGCTGGGGTCTTACTCCCCAGGTTTTCAGTTTCCAGAAGTGTCCCTGCCTCTTTTATTTCCAGCCCCCACACCCTCCACACTCCCCAATTCTTCCCCCTTCGTAACCGACAATCCCAAATCCTGCCCAGAGAGGAGGTTACCAAGGCAACCAGCTTAATCTGGTAACTGTGGCATGTGCTGGGAGTGGAGCCCTCTCCTCTTATTTGGTTCACAAAATGCCTGGGGAGCTCCTAGCCACTCCAGCCAGTTTCTCCTCTTAACCCCAGGGAGAGTGGGGTGTCCAATAAAGGGAGCCCAGCAAGCTGATACTTGGATCTCTATTCCAGCTTCTTAGCCAAAACTCTCCCCCTTTTACTGTTCCCTTTCCAAATCCACAAACAGATGGGTGTGCAAAGCTTTATTTCTGTGAACACATGCTCTAGCACACGGACCAGATATGCACACACAGTGACATGTGTGTAGTACACACCCTGTTCAGTTCAACCACCACTCCCAGCCTTCAGCATTCTTGTCCCTGCCTGGTCCCTGCACAGTAAACAGGGGTGGGGCATTGTCCAAGGAGCTTCAATCCCTCTGGAACCTGGTGGCACTCCCCCACCTTGTTACTTTAACCTTGATGTGTTTACACTGAGTGTGTCTCTACACCCACCTCCTCCTTCTGGGGTAGTGTATCCTTAGGGACAGAATGCTCCTGGCACAGGCATCAGGAATAAAGATCATTGAGAGTGCAAACTGGCACCACTTTCCCTACTTCATGGCCATGTCAGCTCCGGAGGAGCTCTCTATGCTTAATGATGTTGGATGGCAGTTCTAGAGCTTGTTACTCATCTCCGTGGCCCTGCTGTCTCCTGCTGCCAGCTGGGCTCAGGTGCCCTTATACTCCTCATCTCCACCCCCCCCCCCCCCCCCCCCGCCGGCCTCCTCTCTCTTCTCTTCACCCCAGCTAGACCTGCCACAACCTGCTGCTCCCTGCCTGGACCCTACCTGCCTGCCGGTACCTGCCTCTCACAAGCCAGGCCCTTACCACCTATTGTGCCCTACCAGAAAGGGCAGATGGGCACCGCCCCCAGTGCCAATGCCAATCCACCCCAGGCCTTTCCAGCCCTTCTTATAGAAGGAACGTAAAGACCACAAATATGGCAACAGACCATACTGTCGGGGTTGAGAATGATGATCAGCAATCTTTGTAGGCCTCACCTGAGTACAGGTAAGCCCAAGTTGTGCAGGCCACACACCTGCTCTACTTCTTTGAAATGACACTTAAGAGCCCCTGTTAGCCCCCCAAACCAGGAATCACTCTCCATTGGTAAATCAGTCCATCACCTTTGCCCTTAATTTCTGCATCTGCCCTGACGCCAATCCCATTCAGCCCCTTACTATTCCCCCCTCCCCAGGCCAGCCCCAGCGCCCAAGTTCAAGCCTCGCGCGGCCCAGGGGGCGGGTCCAGAAAGGGCAGGGGCGGGGACTGGGCGGAGACTGGAGGAGGGGGCGCGGTCTCAGTTCTGCCACCTTCCCCCGGGCCAGGAGCGCAGCCGCCGCCGCAGCCGCTGCCGCCGCCGCCGCCTCCGCCGCGGCCTCTCTCAGCCTTGCGCTCCGCCCGCCGTCTCTGCCGCCGCAGCCCGGCCCAGGAGCGCAGAGCCCGGGGCACTGGCCCCGCAGCCTATCCGCCCTCCGGGCCGCGTGCCGGCTGCAGCCGACATGGGGGGTCACTAAGAGCGAGCACTCTTTCCCTCTGGCACCTCCCCGGGCCACTGGCCACTGGACCCCGGCCAGCGAGCCTCGGGCACCTCTGGCCCCCAGTCGGGCGCCTGGCACAGCCCTCCTCTCTGCCTCTCAGGCTCTGAGCATCGTGTCCCCGCCCCCCCCGCCCGCGCCTGGGACACCTGGGTCCCCCGGCGGCCCCGAGGAGAGGGGCGGGGGGGGGCATGAAGCCGTTGGAGAAATTTTTGAAGAAGCAGACGTCGCAGCTGGCGGGGCGAACGGTGGCGGGAGGTCCCGGCGGGGGTCCGGGAAGCTGCGGCGGGCCTGGCGGGGGCGGGGGACCTGGCGGGGGCGGCGGTCCAACCGGAGGACTGCGGCCACTGCAGCGGCGTCAGAGCGTGTCTCGCCTGCTGCTCCCCGCTTTCCTCCGGGAGCCTCCCGCCGAGCCGGGGCTGGAGCCACCCCCTGAAGAGGAAGGGGTAGAGCCGGCGGGGGTCGCGGAGGAGCTCGGCAGCGGGGGGCCGTGTTGGCTACAGCTCGAGGAGGTGCCGGGGCCCGGGCCGCTCGGGGGAGGGGGACCCCTGCGCTCCCCTTCCTCGTACTCCTCTGACGAGCTGTCCCCGGGCGAGCCCCTGACCTCCCCGCCCTGGGCCCCCCTGGGCGCCCCCGAGCGGCCGGAGCATCTTCTGAACCGGGTGCTGGAGCGGCTCGCCGGAGGGGCCACCAGGGACAGCGCCGCCTCAGGTAAGGCTCATCCATCCCGGAGTAGGGGGTTGCTACCTGGTTCCTCTTCCTTGCCCTTGGACAGTGGGGGTGGCGCTATGCCGGGAGCCTCGGTGTGGGGTTGAGCGGTCAGCTGAAGTGGGGCAGCGGCCTAGGAGAGGAACAGACCCTTATGCAGAAGGGAAGCGGCAGTGCCACCTTCCTCCCTGTAGCAGCCTCACCCACAGAGAAGCTGAACCTCTTTCCTTAAGCCACCCTTCCTTTCTCCTGGACATTTTACCCACAGGTTCTCATGGGTCCCTGATGTTGACTACCTCCTTCTGTGGCCCCAAATTAAGGCCTGACACACTAAGATGTGCTCCACCCCCCCACCCCCACCCCAAGAGGTGCTTTCCAAGACCTGAAAGACCTTCTAGGAGTCCCTGATTCTGTCTAGAAGCCCCACAGCACAGGGCTGGCTGGCCCACTCAGTAGGGCAGTGCCAGACAGGCTCAGGGCCCAAGCTGCCTTTTGGGCTCAGGCAAAGGGATGCATTGTCCTTAGCAGCTTGGGGGGAAGGAGGTGTCCTAATTGGGGGTTGGCTCAGAAGGTGTTTGTTGGGGGAGAGGTGGCTGGGCAGACAGACATCAGGACCCTGCAGCATCCTGGGTGGGGGGGGTTCTGAGCCTCTCCGACTCCCGCCCTTCCCAAGACAGGCCTCAACACACGGTCTCTTTAAAAAATAATAGCCACACCCTGAGAAGCTTATTCCCTCAATGATGATGCTATTTCACCACTCCCCACCAGCACCCCTACTAAGAGGACTTTGAGGAAACTGAGGCCCCAAACTGCTGGTTAGTGGTGGAGGTAGAAGACCGATGGGTCTTTAGGTCTGCCTCTCAGCATTTCACTAAGCCCAGCAGGATCTGAGGATGGGAGCCCTGGCTGAGGGTCTAAAGATGAGGGTTTCACACTTTGCTCTTAGACCTCTGCAGGGAGCCTGGACCTAGGCTTGTGGAATAGGACACTGCTCCACTAGATTTTTCTCAAGACCTGGGTCCTCTCCTTGGCTCAGTTGTCGTTGCCCTGGGGAGCTGACACCTTTTGGATTTAATTAGAAAAATATCAGACACACACAGCTCTCCTAACCATAACTTCCCGCCTACACCACACACCCTGTGTCTCTATGACACATTCCCTGGGGAGGCTGTGCATTGGACCAGAGCCTGGCTTGGAAGAGACAGACGCCAAACTGTAGCCCCCATAGCAGCATCTCCCCCACTCTGCCCCATGTTCCTCTTCCTTTGCTCTGGCTTGGCTCTCCCATGAGATAGATAGGAAGAACGTTGGGCATCCCTATTCCTTGTCGCCATCTTTGGAGCCAGGGGTCACGGTTGGGGTTCTCAGACTCACTTTATGAACATAGCAGGGTAGAGAGGCAAAGAGGAAAAGGGAGAATCTGTCTTTCCCCTTCCACAGGGACCTGGTGCCACACACTCTGCCTGGTCTCTCGTGGGGAAGGACTCTTAAATTGGTTGTCACCCTAGTACCTGGGCTGACAAGCTAGATGCCCAGAGTAACTGCTTTGGGGAACCTCAAACTAGTCCCAGGGTAAATGAGAATCACCTTAACCTGCCACTCTGATATTCTCCAACATAACCAATGTTCTCAAGCCATCTTGGCTTCCTCCCACAATGTGTGGGAGGGGGACTTACAGAAGTTATCCTCAAACCAGTCAAAGGCTCGCAAACCCCTAAGCAGCCCTATCTAACCTCTGTGCTCTACCCTGACACGCAGCTTGCCTCGGGCATATTGAGAAAAGAACAAAGACTCAGCAGTCTGGGTTTCTACTCCAGCTCCAGGCAAGTCCCTCCCGACTCTGGGCCTCAGTTTCTCATTTGTGAAATGCAACAGTTGAAGTAGAGGATCTGGTGTTGGTTCTCCTCCTCTACCTTCATGACTAGAAACAGAGGCCAGGGGATGGTGAGCCAAGGGACGTCAGAAGCCTTGGTTTTGTCCTGGGGCAGTGCCTGGGGACCTGGCCCTAACCTGTCCTGGTGAGGACACCTGGCTCCCTCCCTGTGCCCTGCCTGTCTCTGTGTGCCAGGCTGCCCTGCCCCACCCCAGGGCTGGCTGCAAGTCAGGGCGACCTTGTACCTGGCTGACTGGCTGAGCCAGGCCCAGATGGGGGAGTGGAGGGGAAAAGGGTGGTGAGAGCCACTCCCCTCCACCCTTCCCTCATTAACCCTTCCATCTCTGGGCATCCAGAGGATACAGGGCTTCTATTTAAAGGCTTTTGGGATCAAAGAGATGGTAGTCACTCCCTCCCCTTTTTAATGGGGCTGGTTCTCACCTGCCCAGTTGGAACTCAGAGCTGTTAGGTAGGGAGTAGGGAGGGGAGGAGGGATACAGAGACAGACAGACAGACACACACACACACACACACCACTGACCCTAACCTCTGTGTTTACAAGTTCTTTGTCTAGAGACACTTCTGTGGTTGACCTCTTTTTTGGGGCAGATCTCAAGCTTGGTGTATTATCTGACCAGCTTCCCACATGCATTGAAGAGTAGTGGGCGTGGCCATCAAAGGGCGCCCCCTCCTTCCCTCCAGCTGCCTTGGCAGCTGCCAACCCCACCCCCGCAGCGGCTGCCCAGAACCTTCACACGTGTGTGCGCGCGCGCGTGCGCGCGCACGCTCGCACGCGTGCTATTGTGCAAGCATGACGGGGCAGGTGGCTGGGGCTCCAGCCTGGCTAAGAAGAACTCACTCTAGGAGGCAAGGGGGGGTGGTAGTGAGTGTCCAGTCGGGTCCTGGGAGTGCCCGCCTGACATCAGTGGCGCCAATTGATCTCTACAGATATCCTGCTGGATGACATCGTCCTCACCCATTCTCTCTTCCTCCCCACGGAGAAATTTCTGCAGGAGCTACACCAGTAATATCCTTTTATGGAGCGTGCAATAGGGGAGGTCAGGAGGAGGCCACTCCCCCTACCCCACATGTGATATCAGGGCCTGGGCGCTTCCCTAGGAAACACACCTGGGTTTCAATTCCAGGGGTTTTACTCACCAGCTGTGTGACCTTGGGCAGACCACCTAACCTCCTGGGGCCTCAGTTTCCTCTTCTGCAAAAAGGGGGTAAATATCACCTGCCCTGCCTACCTATGGGGCTGCTGTGGAGATCAATCTGATAGTTGATGGGGGAGTGCTCTGGAGACTGCAGAGCCCTGTACAAATGTAAGGTGTTATTATTCTATTAAGAGAGCCTCTCTCCCCACTGAATTGTTGCTCTAAACATCTGGTTGCCCAGTGGGTTATTATAGGGTCCGATGTAAACATCAGATCACAGCTCTGCTTCGGTGGGGTCTGCTAGAGACAGGCCACTGGCCAGGCTATTCGTAGGGTCTCATGTAAGCAGAGGGCCTCACACTGAGTTATTTTAGGATCTAATTGTACATGTCAGGCCACTGAGTAGAATACCGTAGGCTCTCTTAGAAACACCAGGCCTTACACTGAGGTATGGTCAGGTTTGTGGTAAGCATCGTTGGCCTTTATCAGCTCCAGGTTATGAGCTGGTCAGAGGTTGGGTGGGTCCAGGCAGGCTATCTCCAGGTGAAATTCAAACAGGCAGGATGTGGTCAGATGGACGTGGTCAAGTGGGTGCCATCCCTACCTACTCTGAGCAAAAGCCCAGGCTGGGGCATGAAGGGGTCTTGGCTCCAGGGACCCCTCGACCTCTCTTCTCCCTGGCCCCAGACCTAGGGAATATTTGGGAGGGTTTAGCTACCCACTGCTTCTCATCTCCCTTCCCAGTTTCCTCAGGTCTGCCCGCCCAGGGCTTTTTCTTAACTAAGGGGTCAGTTTTGTTTGGGCAGGAGGCATGGAGGGCCCTGAGGGGCTGGGCCGGAAGCAGGCCTGTCTAGCCATGCTCCTTCATTTCCTGGACACCTACCAGGGGCTGCTGCAGGAGGAAGAGGGGGCCGGCCGCATCATCAAGGTGGGCCTGGGAAGAGAAGGCGGGTGAGCAGGCCATTAGCTCTGGAAGGGGGCTCCTTTGAAGGAGCCATACTCCTCAAGCTGGGTACCTGGAAGAGAAGATGCCGGTGGACCTCTCAGTTTATATGGTTCCTCTATGTTCAAAGACACGGAGACCCTGCCCCAGCCCTTGCTGATAGCAAAGTTTGGGATGAGACCCCTGCCTTTATCTTCTCTCTCCTCTGCTCCCCAGGATCTGTACCTGCTGATCATGAAGGATGAGTCCCTTTACCAGGACCTCCGAGAGGACACATTGAGGCTGCACCAGCTTGTGGAAACAGTGGAGCTAAAGTGAGGGGAATGGGTTGGGGGAGGGATAGGACAGAAGTCCCCCATGTTCCTCTGTCACGGGAACTGCCTCTGGCCTTTTGACTCCAATGTGGTTTTATTTCAGCCCCTTTCTCTTGCTAAAGGGTAGCACAGAGCATGGCCTCCAGTCACTTTCTTGTCCATTCTCTCATCCATTTCTTTGTTAATCCAGTGGTATACTGGTACATATTTAACAACCAGCATTTCAGGGGGAAAAAAAAAAAGCCCCTATTTTAGCTTTTGCTGATTCCCATGGTATGAATTCTCTCACTGGCTGATTTCCAGCTACCGACATGACATCACTGAATGTGAAGTTGCGAAGAAATGTGCAGTAGCAGGCCATTACGTAGTATTTTCACCCCACAAATCCAAGAGAGGTAAATAACATCAAGAGCATAGATAATAGCAAAATATAGTAAAACAGGATACTACCTTTTGTGGTAATAATTTGGCTAGAAGTTTATAAAACATTTTTTTTTATTAATGGGTGTATAAAAACCCATAGGCAGAATCGCACCAAATTTCACAATCTGCTCTCCTGAGCCAATGTGAGCCAGCTTCAGGACTCCACTGTATCCGTCCACCCGTCCATCCATCCCTCTGACCATTTCAGTCTCTCTCCACTCCATTCCCACCACCACGACCCTCGTTTAGGCCTTATTAGCTCTCACCTGGATTATTGCCACAGCCTCCTGCCCAGGGCTTCAGCTCATGGTCTTGCGTCCTCTCCCTTCTTATGCTGACACCAGAGAGATCTTTCCAGTTTGACGACATCATGCTCCCATTTCAAAAACATCCAGGGCTCCTTACTGCCCACAAGACAAAATTGTAACACCCTTGCACAGCATTCAATGCCCCTGCCTTTCTGCTGATGCTTCCCGCCTCATCTCCCACATCCCCCAGCACCCATGACACTCCCTATACACCCCACCATTCCCTGAACTCCTGGGCATTCCCAACCCCAAATTCCTGCCATCCTTTACATGGTTCACCCAAGAAGGACCACTCTGTACCGCTTCTCTTTCTGTTGTCCTTCAATGCTCCAGTCAAATACCATCTTCCCAATGAAAGATCCCCCTCCCTCATGCCAACAGAACTCTCCTTGTACATTTGTTAGATCACCTAACACCTCCTGTCTTGTGTTAGAAGTAGCTGTATACACGTCTGTCTCCCTCCCAGGCTGTGAAGTCCTTGTCAGCAAAATTCAGGAAACAGCGGATGACCTACACCTACCATGTGCCAAGTAGTGTGCTAGGCCTGGAGGGTGGAAAAAAAAAATCCAGGAAGAACTAAGCCTAGCCCTCACAAGCTCTCAGTCTTGCAGAAGAGATAAGATATGCACATAAACAAATATTAGGCCGGTGTCCTACAGCAGTTGATGCCCAAAAGTGACCTTTCCTGGTGTGTGGGGTGGATCAGAGAATTCATGGAAGAGGTAGCATATGATCTGGGTCACTTGAACAGTTGTCCCATGCTGGTCACTGTCTCCCTTCTGACCTCCTTCACCACTTTCTGAACCTGGTGCTGGTGCATCCTTGACTCGGTTCTGATAATCCCTTGCTTGATGTTGCCTGCCTGGCACTCCATATGCATGACAGGACTTCCTGACGCCCAGCTCTGTCCATGCCAGGATCCCAGAGGAAAGCCAGCCACCCAGCAAGCAAGTGAAGCCACTCTTCCGTCACTTCCGCCGCATCGACTCCTGTCTGCAGACCCGAGTGGCCTTCCGGGGCTCTGATGAGAGTGAGTATGGGCATCAAGATGGGCAGAGCTTCCAGAGTGGCTCAGAGGGCCCTCGGGGGCCTCTGGGTTTTAGGGCACCTTAGATGGAGTCTCCTGGTGTAGTAGAACCTGTCCTTTCGACAGCCTGTTTCTCAGAAGCCAGCCGATTGAAGGTTAGGGGTGAGATGCGCTGGGAAACAGATGTGGGCTGGAGGGGTCTGTGTCAGCGCTGTCATTCTGCCTTCTAATTCAAAGCCACCTTCCTGTCTCTGCCCAGTCTTCTGCCGGGTCTACATGCCTGACCACTCTTACGTGACCATCCGCAGCCGCCTCTCGGCGTCTGTGCAGGACATCCTGGGCTCTGTGACAGAGAAGTTGCAGTACTCGGAGGAGCCTGCGGGGCGTGGGGACTCCCTCATCTTGGTAGCTGTGGCTTCCTCCGGAGGTGAGGCTCTGATGCTTGGCAAGAGCTGGGCAGGGGGGTGGGGGGTGAGGGGGTGGGCAGGAGAGGAGAAACTCACAAGCCCAGTGCTCTGGAGCAGGGGTAAAGACGAATTGTAGGCCCTGGCTATCCGAAGTGTGGTCCTGGGACCAGCCACATGAGCATCACCTACCTGGGAGCTTATTAAAACTGCAGTACCTCACACCCTACTCCAGACCCACTGATTCAGAATGAGCATTTTAACAAGATTCCCAGGCAATTCTTATACATATTAAAATTTGGAAAGCACTGGTCCAAGACACTTGGATTCGGATCCAGGTGATTGTCTCTTCCTTACCTTGGGATCTGGTTCTTTAACCTCCCAGAGCTTCTGAGGATGCTACGTTTTTGAGGCTAAAAAAACACAGGGTGGGCCTCCAATCCCTGTGGGAAGGCAGAAATCCTGCCATGTGGCCAGAGCTCTATCTTCCGCTGAGGCAAGAAAAAAAGTTCCAGTGCCATTGGGATGATAGAATGAGAGAAGAGCTGTGGAAGAATGTTGGGGGTAAAAAGGAGGTTATGAATGCAAGAGAAATCGTGATCTGAAAAATTTCAGATAAATATGGCATAAACTGGTGATAACATAACACAAGTCCCATTAGTCTAGAACATGTCTGTGCAGGGTTAGGAGTTTCCAGATGGGATGGCGACAGTGGCTGGGGGTTGTGAGGGTGCAGGTGGCTGGGGCTGAGGCAGAGCAGCTCATTCTCCTGCAGAGAAGGTCCTTCTCCAGCCCACTGAAGACTGTGTCTTCACCACGCTGGGCATCAACAGCCACCTGTTTGCCTGTACGCGGGACAGCTTTGAGGCCCTGGTAAGAACCCCGTGGCAAGGCCTTGGCTGGGAGCCAGGGCCCAGAGGGGCTGTGGGCAGAACCTCACAATTCCAGAGTGGAGTCCAGCCCCTATGCCCCTGCCTGCCACCAGATGCCCCTCCCTGAGGAGATCCAGGTCTCCCCTGGAGACACAGAGATCCACCGAGTGGAGCCCGAGGACGTTGCCAACCACCTTACTGCCTTCCACTGGGAGCTCTTCCGATGTGTGCACGAGGTGGGGATTGTGGCTGGTGCTGGGCTGGGGGCCTGGAGGGAGAAATGTGCCAACGTGGGGGGCCTGGAGACGGGCACCACATGCAGCTGAACTTGGGGTTAGAAGGCTGGCTGGCAGGGTGCCCTTGGGCAATTCCCTAACTCACCCCAGACCCTCTGAGCCTTAGGTCCCCCATCTGAAAAAAAAAAAAAAAAAAGAGCAAAGAGAGAGACCCCCTTAGTAAGGTGGGTCTTACATAGGACCTGATCCATGGTTAGTACTTTTAAACCGTTCTCTATTAAAGAAAGAAAATAAGGCAGTCACAATAATGTCTATCAGGTGGTTCAAGGACCTGGCACCTAGTAAGTGCTCGGTAAATAGTAGAGTATGATTAATGTTGCTCCCCTCCCCCAATCTCTGTTGCAACCTGTCTTGGCCCCGTTTTTTTCCTATTTGCCCCTCCTCCCGCGCCCGCCCTCCGGCCCTTCCCTCCACCACCGGCGCCGCCACCTACCCACCTCCGATGTCCCCACGCGCCCGCGCTGCCACGCCACCGTGGGTGCAGCTGGAATTCGTGGACTACGTGTTCCACGGGGAGCGCGGCCGCCGGGAGACGGCCAACCTGGAGCTGCTGCTGCAGCGGTGCAGCGAGGTCACGCACTGGGTGGCCACCGAGGTGCTGCTCTGCGAGGCCCCGGGCAAGCGCGCGCAGCTGCTCAAGAAGTTCCTCAAGATCGCGGCCATGTGAGTGCGGCCGGGCGGCGAAGGGGGAGCGCGAAGCCCCCCCCCCCCGCCCCGGGCGCGCACTGACCCCACCTCGCACCCCCCGCAGCTGCAAGCAGAACCAAGACCTGCTGTCCTTCTACGCCGTGGTCATGGGGCTGGACAACGCCGCCGTCAGCCGCCTGCGCCTCACCTGGGAGGTGATGACACAGCTGCCCTTTCCTCTCCTCCCGCCTGTGCTGGCCCGGCTGTGGGGCGCGGGGCGGGGGTCTTGGCCTCCCGGGTGCACCCCAGTGCGGTCTCCGGCGGCCGCTGCAGGCCGGTCGGCCGCCTTTGTGCCGGGCGGAAGGAGGCGCCCTCTTCTGGCAGATCCAGCCCCCGGGGCACGCAGCTTGGCTAATGGACCCTGTGTCTGTGTACAATCGTAAAAAGCCTGAATCCCCGCCGGAGTGGGGGCAGGCAGCCCAGGCCAGGTCGCAGACTTGGATACTGGATTTCAGCCAGCACTCAGTGAGGCCCCTCGTGCATGGCGTAAGCCTAAGCAGAGGCTCGAATTCCCCGGAATAATTCGTTCCCCTGGGCTGCTTCCAGCTCCCCAGACCGCACCAAGGGCTGACTCTATTTCCCCACCCACCAGCTTGCCATCCCCCTGCAAGACAGCCAGGCCCCTTCCCCCTCTGACACGTGGGGATTAGCCAGAGCTGCCGTGAAACCCAAGGAGCTCCACTTTGACATTCCTTCTTCCTTCAAACTCTCTGCAGAAGCTGCCAGGGAAATTCAAGAACTTGTTCCGCAAATTTGAGAACCTGACAGTGAGTGGGTTCAGCTCTTTATCTGCCCCTGGACTTGTACCCTAGAGGCCCTCTGTTCCCATTAATCTGCTTCCTCAAGCTTCCCTGCAAGGTTTTTAGTGCCTGAGACTGTCCCCAGCCCATGCTGGGAGGGGAGGGGTGGGAGGATTGTTGCCGTCTTTTTCCTTGGAGAAGGGAGAACAGTCAAGCCCCTCCCCACCTCATCCCCAGCCAGACACCCATACATGTCCCTCTCTGATCAGAGATGGATCTCGGGCAGGGGGCTGAGGGAAGAGTAGGGGACATCTTTAAGGTGCACTGGGACTATCTGCCCCTTTACCTCTCTTCCGTGGAACGCCAGGACCCCTGCAGGAACCACAAAAGCTACCGAGAAGTGATCTCCAAGATGAAACCTCCTGTGATTCCCTTCGTGCCTCTGATCCTCAAAGGTGAGAGTCACTCCTGTGCCTTTCTAACCACACTCTGTGTCCCAGTTCTGGCTCTCAACCCCTGGCACTCAGCTCTGAGTGCCCACCTGGACAGGAGCCCCCTAGTGAGGGGCTGTGGGGGAAGGGAAGGGCCCATTGGACCTCCTCTTTTCTTCCTCACATGGGCTTCTCCTGCATCCCCTAGACTTGACTTTCCTGCACGAGGGGAGTAAGACCCTTGTCGATGGTTTGGTGAACATTGAGAAGCTGGTGAGTACCACTGCCGACTCTGGCCTGGGCACGGGGGCTGGCATTCTTCCCCTCTCCTGGCAGCCCCCTAAAGACAGCAGCCTTCCTCCTTGGTGCCCAGCTTGCCTGACAGACTCCTGACTGTCCCTGGTGGCATTGCTGTGGCAACCCACCCACGGAGAGGCAAAGCTGACAGGCAGCTGGGGGGGGTGGGGGGGGCACAACTTCACCTCTCCTCATGCCCGTTACACCCCTCCTTTGGTTCTTCAGACACCCTCCAGAATTAGACCCTGGAGGGAGCAGGGTCAAACCAGTAGAGTTGGAGAACGGAGCAGGGGGAGCATTAGAGGGGGGAGCATCTTTCTGTACCCTTTTTAGGGCTCATTCCTTGTCATCTCCCAGCATTCAGTGGCTGAAAAAGTGAGGACAATCCGCAAATACCGGAGCCGGCCCCTTTGTGAGTACCCGGGATTCTGAGAGTTTCACAGATAGAACTCTGCCTGAGTGGGAGGCTTCCGGGAGGAGTCCCTGCTCGGTTCTTCGTTTTCTTAAACTTGTCAGCTCCCCACCCTCTCCTTGGCCTCCCCGGGGGCCCTCCTGCCCAGCACCTGTCCCAATCCGCACCCCTCCCCTCTGGCTGGTATGCACGGTAGAGCGAGAAGGGACGCTGGGAGCCTGAATGCTTCTCTCGTCACACCCCCAGGCCTGGATATGGAGGCATCCCCCCATCACCTGCAGACCAAGGCCTATGTGCGCCAGTTCCAGGTCATCGACAACCAGAACCTCCTCTTTGAGCTCTCCTACAAGCTAGAGGCTAATAGTCAGTGAGAACAGAGGTTCTGGTCAGTGCCCCACCAAGGTCCTCGGGCACCTGGCACTCAAGCACTTTGCACGATGTCCCAACTCACCCCTGACATCTTTCCGCTGGAGCAACTTCCTGCCCCTCAGGAAAGAGTCAGATGGACTTACCCCTGGACTCATAAGCCTGTTCATCCTGCTGAAGTCCTGTCCCCCTTGCTCCTTCCAGCCAAAACCATACTCTGCTGGTTCCTGCCCTTGCAGGGAAGGGGGGCAGAATGCTCCTTCCTCTGTCCCCTCCTATCAAGGTCCAGTCCAGAGATGGAGTTTCCAACCTCCTCCCAAGCAGGCAGGAAAGCTGCCCACCCTCCTGTCTCACAGAGCGGAATCGTGGGAGGGATTGGTGGCCTTCCTTTTCCCTCCTGTCCAGCCTCTCCCTGGTCAGGGCTGGGACCCCTGAATGTACTGCCCTGGAATATTATATTGCCCCTGTGTCTGTGTGCGTGTGTGTGCACCTGTCCCCTTTAAGAAGCAGGAGTGCATCCGGTAATTGAGGGAAGGTGTTGCGTGTAGAGGGGTCCTTCTGTTTGGTGCTACCCTGGTCTACTCTGCCCTGCGGTGGTGCGGGGTGCTTTCACCACCCCCATCACTCCCTGCTCAGCTCCTTTTGCTGCCCTGCATGCCCAAGCCTGTGGGTGAAGCTCTTCGTGGGGCAGGGGGCAACCTGTCAGCCCTTGGGAGCCCCCACGCAGGCCTCCCCAACGTCTCTGGGTGGGCTCCAATGAGAGGGTAAAAGATGCTCAGGGAAACACAGGCCTAAGCTCCCTACAGGACGCTCCCTCTGCATTGCGGGGTGGGATGTGGCGGTACCCAGGAGTTGGAGGTGTCTGGGGCCCACCCTCCTGCTTTGGGGGTGTCTCCTGCTAAGAATGGAGCTGTCATCCCCCTTCTGGCTCCTCTGTGGGACACCAACCACATGGTCTCTAGCCTTCCCCCTGTCTTGACTCCCCCTGGGTCCTCCCCATCAGAGCTGGGGTGGGGCGGATCCCTGTACCCAGAAGTGAGAGGGGAGGCAATGGCCAAACCTGTCAAGGCGGAACTGGATGGTGGTGATGCCTTTAATACCTCTCTGTCTCCCCACCGTCTCCCACACGGGCCTCCAGGGTCGAGCGGCGCAGGGCTCCTGGCAGCTACCGGGTGAGGTTTCCTGGCACAGCCTCACCCACCTTTCTGGCACCCCCTCTTTCCCTTCTGAAGAGGAAGTGGCGGCAACAGTGAAAGCCCCTGCTGTTCCTGTTCCGAGGGTGTACATATTTTTTACCAAAAGCTCTGGAATTGTAAATTTATTTTTTAAAACTCCAAGAGGGGAAGAGCCTTGTATCATATGTAAACATTGTATCATAGGTTATGTTGTACAGTCCCTTTTCTACAGTGGTCCTTCTGGTTCCTGCCACAAAAAAGATGTGTATGGGCTCCCCACCCCCGGCCGCACATACACGGGCACCATGTCGCCTCCTCCATCCCCTACAGACAGTGACCAGAGCCCGCGCCCCCGCCCCTCTTCCTCCCTGCCGCGGCCCGCGCGCACCCTTCTCCCTGTGGCTACCCTTCCTCCCTCCCCGCGCCGCAGCCTGCTCACGCAGCTCCCACAGCCCTTCTCAAGCCCTGGGGTCCGCCGCCGCCCGCCCCTAGCCTTGACGCCGGCCCCGCCGCTCCCCGGCTTTGCCAGAGTGAACCGCGCGTCCCGGACAGAAGCCCCTGGGGGTGAGAAAAAGCTGATAAAGTCTATGAATCAAGCTGCTTGCTGTTCTCCACTCTGTTTCTCTGAGGTTGGGGGCAGGGGGTGAGGGAGGGGAGAGGGGACCCCCCCCTCAGTGCACTGGGCCCCTCAGCAGGGCTGTTCTGGAATAACTGAGAATGTGGATGAGAGGGAAAGGTGCCAACCTCATGAGACTTGTCACACGGTGTCTGGCCTGCGCGGCTCAGTCGGTTAAGTGTCTGCCTTCGGCTCAGGTCCTGATCCCGGGATCCCGGGATCGAGCCCCGCATCCGGCTCCCTGCTCGGCCGGAAGCCTGCTTCTCCCTCTGCCCCTCCCCCCACTCTTGCTCTCTCTCTCTCTCTCTCTCTCTCTCTCTCTGACAAATAAGTAAATAAAATCTTTTTTAAAAAATAAAAAAATAAAAATAGTGACAATACCAGTATCAGTGAGGATGTGAAGCAACTGGAACCTTTATACGCCATTGGCGGGAGCATACATTGATACAGCCACTTTGGAAACCTGCTTGGCAGTGTCTACCAAAACTAAATGTACCCCTGACCTATGACCCAGAATTTCCACTCCCAAGAGTAATCAGTGCTGTGTCTACCGAAAGACATGGACAGCAGTGATCACAACGGTTTCATTAACGACAATGAACTGGAGAAAGTTCAGCTGTCCTTCAACAGGTGAATGGATAAATCAAGTGTGCTATCTTCTTGCAATGGAATACTACATAGCAAAAACAAAGAACAAACAAGAACCCGCACGAATGAATCTCAGACATAATATTGAGTAAAAAAACCAAAACAAAAAAAACCCCAGACACATAAGACTACAAATTGTAGGATTCTTAAGAGAAGTTCAAGAGCAGGCAAAATTAATCTATGGGGATAAAGTAAAAATAGGGGTTTCGTGATGGGCAGGGGAGAGTATTGACTGGGAAGGGGCATGAGGAAACCCTCTGTAGTGATAAAGTTCTATATCTTGACCTGAGTGTGTGTGTGTGTGTGTGTGTGTGGTGTGCTCACTGAATTGTGAGATTATACATTTCACTGTAGGTATATATCAACTAAAACAATTCAGATCATAACACTTCTGTTTCCAATAACACATTAAAAATCAAAGTCCTCCCTCTCTGACCCCCTCTCCTACCCCATCTCCTCTCACTCACCCCTCCAACAGTCACATTGACTGCTTTACCGTTCCCAAACTCCTCTAACACCCATTCCTGTCTCAGGGAATCACCTTTGCTCTTTCCTGAGCCTTCCCTGACCACGCTGACCCCATCTCACCCACCCCTCCCTCTCTGTCCCCTACCCCCCTGTATTGTCTTCAAGGTACTCATCACCCCCGACATCATATCTACTTCTCTGTTTTTTCTTCGTGCCTCCATTCCTACAAGAATGTTAGGTCTCAGCTCCATGGATGTCTTGTTCGCTATCCAGAGCCTAGAACAGTACCTGGCACAGAGAAGGCATTCAATACATACTTGCTGAATGAATAAATTAGGTTGGTTGAAATAGGAGCTGTAAGTCCAGACAAGACACAAGCTGACAAGCCCTCTAGGAATTGAGCCAAAGAGATTCACTACTGGTCTGGGGATAGGAGGTGGGGGACAGTAAAAGAAAGCTTCTTGAGAGAGATGACCCAGGACTTAAAGCAGGTTTGATGGCCAAAGTGTGGAAGTGGGAACTCAGGGATGAGGCACTGGGAGACACTGCTCAGCACTGGGAGCCTCCCCTGCCCTGTGGACTGTTCATGAGGGGAGCCAGATGTTGGGGGGGCTGGACAGGTTCTGCCCTCCTCAAAGGGTGCTGGTCCCACTCTGGAGGACTCCATGCCCTGGGGCAGGATCATAGGGGCCATTCCTTTCTATCCCCGCTCCTCTACCCCTGGGAGGGCAGGGAGAGTGGTATGGGTTATTCCCCTTAGCCCCATCTTGGCCATCTTCAGAACCCATCAGTCCTCTGCTCCCTTTCAGGGGTGATGATGAGAATTGACATTTGGAAGGGTGTCCTTTACCACCCGCTATGCTTGGCTTTATGTGCGTTCTCTCATTTAGTCCTCTCAACTCTCAACAAAGAGGTTGACTCTATCAGTCTCACTTTCCAGATGAGAACTGAGGTCACGAGGAATTTCTCATCAGATGCGCAGAGAGGCCAAGTCTCATAGCTAGCAAGAATATGAACCCAGTTATTCTGGCTCCAGAGCCCACGGTTTAAGGTCTGCACAATCCCCACAAGCTTGAATAACTAAGAAATGTCCAGCTTGCACTCACCAGACTGCAGTGGCCACCTGACTATAGCTGGGGGGTGGGGAGACTATCTTTTCTTGTCCCTTCCTGCACTCCGCCTGAGTTCTGCTTCCCTGTGTGGAGAGTGGCCAAGACACGAGACGTGGTCAAGGGCTCTGTGGGCTGTGTGGGGAGAGGACGAACTTACTTAGTACCATTGCACATCCTAGGCTGCTCTAGCAATGAACAAAAGGGTGCAAATGATTTGGAGTGGTCAGAGGACAAGCACAGTAAAATGCCCTCCAGATCATGCGTATAGAGAGCAGAGGGGAGAATTTAAGCAGTGCCCTTTGAATCCACTAGGTGTCACCACTAAGATTACTTACTTTCTCTTCACACTTGGGGATAGAGGAGGGTAGAGTATTTCTTGGCGGAATACTGAATCTCTCTTATTGAATCCCCATGGCATGAGTCAGAAGGTTGACCATCCCTGACTTGCCATTTGTATCTTTCATTCTCCTCTTTCTTTTTTTTAAATTTTATTTATTTATTTGACACGGAGAGAGAGTGCACAAGTAGAGCCATAGACAGAGGGCGAGGGAGGAAGCTCCCCAGCTGAGCAGGGAGCCTGATGTGGGGCTCGATCCCAGGACCCCGAGATCATGACCTGAGCCGAAGGCAGATGCTTAACGACTGAGCCACCCAGGCGCCCCTCAACTCCCCGTTTTAAAAAACACTTTCCTTGATCCTGCATGCCTGTTCCAGCTACTGTCCCCTCTCTCATTTCCAGTTCAAGGCCAACTTCTGGATTGTCTCCACGTCGTCTCCCAGTCATTCTTTTTTTATTTTGTCTTGTTTTCCCAACTTTTTCATCATAAATCAACTCAAACACAGAAAAATTTAAAGATTAGTACAGTGAATATCCTTAAAGCCTTCTAGATTCTATAATTACCATTTTGCTAAATTTGCTTTTGTTGTCTCTTTCCCTCTTTTTCTCCCCTTTCTCTATTTACACACACACACACTTTTTCTTTTGTTAAGCTATTCGAAAGTAAGTTGCAAACTATCATTTCACTCCTAAAAACCTCAGCGAGAATATCCTAAGAATAAGAACAATTTCCCGCATATCCACCACAGCATTATCATACCTAAGAAAGTCAGTAATAATTCTACAATATCACCTAATATCCAGTCTCTATTTGATTTTCCCAGGTTGTCTCAAAAATATCTTTTTATTTATTTTTTAAAGATTTTATTTATTTGACAGAGACACAGCCAGAGAGGGAACACAAGCAGGGGGAGTGGGGGAGGGAGAAGCAGGCTTCCCGTGGAGCAGGGAGCCCCAGTGGGGCTCGATCCCAGGACTCTGGGATCATGACCCAAGCCTAAGGCAGACGCTTAACGACTGAGCCACCCAGGCGCCCCTCAAAAATATCTTTTTAAAAACTTAAAAGAAGAGGGGCACCTGGCTGGCTCAGTCAGTAGAGCATATGACTCTTGTTCTTGATCTTGAGGTCTTGAGTTCAAGCCCCACATCGGGGCTAGAGATTGCTTTTAAAAAATTACATCTTAAAAAAGAAAGAAAGAAAGAAAAGAAATCCTGATCCAATCAGGGCCTATGCACTGCATTGGGTTCTTATATCTCTTTTGTCTCTTTTAATCTAGAATAGCTCCTTTGCTTTTCTTTTTTTCCAACAACATTGACCTATCGAAGTCTAGGAGAAATGTCTTGTAAAATTGTCCCAAATTCTTGACTAGTCTGATTGTTTCCCCATGTTCTTGTTCACTTGTACTTTCATCCCCTCAAATGTAATTTACATTTTTCTAATAATCACACTTAAAAATCAAGAAGAAACAGGGGCGCCTGGGTGGCTCAGTTGGTTAAGCGACTGCCTTCGGCTCAGGTCATGATCCCGGAGTCCTTGGGATCGAGTCCCACATCAGGCGACCGGCTCAGCGGGGACCCTGCTTCTCCCTCTGGCCCTCTCCCCTCTCATGCTGTTTCTCTCTCTCTCTCTCTCAAATAAATAAATAAAATCTTTTAAAAAAATAAATAAAAATAAAAAAAATAAAAAAACCTATCTAATGGGGCGCCTGGGTGGCTCAGTCATTAAGCCTCTGCCTTTGGCTCAGGTCATGATCCTGGGGTCCTGGGATGGAGCCCTGCATCGGGCTCCCTGCTCAGCGGGAAGCCTGCTTCTCCCTCTCTCACTCCCCCTGCTTATGTTCCTGCTCTCGCTAAGTCTCTCTCTGTCAAATAAATAAAATCTTATTTTAAAAAACCTATCTAAGCCTATAATCTATTTGTCCATTAACCCTATACCCAAGGGAGGAGGGGACAGGCTTATTTCTGGTTCACCCTTACCAGAAATAGACCCTTGTATTTCTTTGGGGGGTCCCATCTTTATGAAGGAGAATCTTTTGTTAAAATTCCCCTGTTGAGGAGGATCTGAGGTGTTTCCTTTTCCATGAGACACTGACAAAAGCTCAGGTTCACCTAGTCAGGCAAATGTCCTCAGAGCAAAAACCTGCCTCAGTGTTCTACTCACCTCTTTCTAGAAACCCTGCCTTTGTTTACTTTGTTTTGCCAATATTCCTCACTTTTTCATCATTATTCTTTTGTTTTTTGGGAGGTCTCCCAGGTACTTGGCCTGTCATATTATCAAGAAGGGAAAGTACAAGCATGGAATATTTTTGCACAAACTTAATATAACCTCTCTTTTTTATGAATACACTACTGTGTTGTTTTGTGTTTTTCAGAACTTTACCAAGAGTCTTCCACCATTTTGGGAAATCACGTCGCAAATGACAATGCAGGATCACTTGGTATGGGCATTAACAGTAGACTCTGGAGACAGGTCTGCTATTTTATAGGTATGTGACTTTGGGCAGGATGGTTAACCATACTGTGTCTCAGTTCCTTCATTTGTAAAATGGGGGTATTAAAGCTACCTCAGAAAGTCATTGTGAAGATTAAATGAGTTATGACATGTGAAGTTATGCCAATGTTACATGCTAACATGATGTTAATTAAATGTCAGATGTTACGATGACTTCTTTGACCTAATTTCTCATAAGTTTGCCTTTCTCATAAGTTCTAGCTCGAGCTCCAGCACATCAAAATGCTTTCAGTTTTTGGAATGTGCCATGATTCTTCTTGTATTGCACATACCGTCCCTCTACTCTGGAATGCTTTTCTTTCTCTTCTGCCCCTGCCCAATTCTTATTTTCCCATCAGGCCTCACTTAGATGTCACTTTCTTCATGAAGCCCACACCTAGTTCTCCAGGTGAGATGTCCCTGTATTCCACCCCAGTGGCTGCTTTTATCATAGAGTGATGTTACAGAGAATGGGGGAAGCTTACATTAGCTACAGTGGGCAGGGAATGCCTCTGAGGAGGGACATTTGAATGAAGACTTGAAAAACGAGGAAGGGGCAGAGTAGAGCCAGTACAAAGGCCTTGAGGAGCCACTTGGTGCACTGTAGTGATAGAAAGCAGATCCACACAGTATATGGTGAGCAAGGAGGAGACAGACTGGACATGAAGTTGAAGAACTGGGAGTTTGGGTCTACCATCTCCCTGACCCAATCACCCCACCTTTAGACATGCAGAACTACATACCTGAAAATCTTTACCTTTGCACCCACTGATCCCTATGCCTGGAATGTGTTCCCTGCCTTCTCTGGTCGGTAATAAAATTCTACTCATCCTTCAAGCCTCAGTTCAAAACCACTTACGAAACCTTCTCCCATTCTTCGGCAGGAGTTAATCACTCCCTGTCTGACCTCTCACAGCACATATGTCCCCATGGCCCTAATTACATGGTGACTTGTATCCCAGCTAGCTGTTTACATGCCAGTCTGCCCACCACACAGTGAGTGCCCTGAGAAGGGAGGTTCTTAGTCACCTCTGTAACCATGGGATGGTACCTAGCCCAGTGCCTAGCCCTCAGCAAGTTCTCAATGAACGCTGTGACACTGACTAGTGGGTGCTACCCAGCACTATTCATGGCAGAACAGAAGGAAAACAAAAATTGAACAACTTATGGTTTATCACGTATTCCCATTCGTTGATTTGAGCCCTCCAACAACCCTATGAAACAGTCGAGACAAGCACCATTAGCCCCATTTTACAGATAGGGTAGCTGAAGCCCAAGGGCACACAGCTAGTGAGTAGTGAGAACTAAATCCCAATCCTGTCCCCTTACTTTGGATTCAACTCAAGGAAGGGTGAAAGCCGCAAAGAGCATTTTGAGGATATAGGCAATGGGGTTAGCTATAGTGGAAAAGAACTCTTGTGAGTGGACTAGGGAGAGATCCTTACTCAGCTGGGAAGGAGTCAATAGCAGCCCCACCAGGGAGGGCACAGGATTCCTCTCCCGAACCCAAGCAGCTGGAGGAATCCGTAGCACCATCCTCCAGCCTTGGAAACTAGGGAACCCCTACGGCCCGCGAAAGAGACGGGTGTTAGGGTCAGGTAGCTAAGATGACGTTAAGAATGACATGTTAGCAAGGGCCTGCCTCTCTGTTGCTATGACAACAGGAGCTTGACTACTGGGCCTTGCAAGGTTGACTGAGGCATGTCCTTCGCTGACTCGAAATTAGGGAAGGACATTTATGGGGTGGATGTGTGAGCGCGCGCGGCAAAATGAAGACGGAAAAGGTATATTCAAGACTCTAGCTCAATCATTCTCCGCCTCGGCAACACGTTATGTACACCTGCGCAATTTTATTTTTTTTAAAGATTTTATTTATTTATTTGAGAGAGAATGAGATAGAGAGAGCATGAGAGAGGGGAGGGTCAGAGGGAGAAGCAGACTCACTGCTGAGCAGGGAGCCCGACGCGGGACTCGATCCTGAGACTCCAGGATCATGACCTAAGCCGAAGGCAGTCGCTTAACCAACTGAGCCACCCAGGCGCCCCGCAATTTTATTTTTTTTTAAAGATTTTATTCATTTATTTGACAGAGAGAGTGGGAGAACACAAGCAGGAGGAGCGGCAGAGGGAGAGGGAGAAGCAGGCTTCCTGCTGAGCAGGGAGCCCGATGCGGGGCTCGATCCCGAGCCGAAGGCAGACGCTTAACGAATGAGCCACCCAGGTGCCCCTCACCGGCGCAATTTTAAAAGCCTCGATGCCTAGGCCATACCCCAGACCAATTAAATCAGAATCTCTAGGCTTCGCTATCTACTTAAGTCTTCGCGGATGACTCCAATTGCAGCCAAAGCTGCAAACCCTCCTTTTAAAGGAAGGCGGAAGTCTCGCGACCTTCCCAAGATGGCGGCTACCCTACGGCTTCCGCCTTTATGTGCGCCGGCAGGGGGGGGCGGGCTTTCCAGGAGCGCATGCGTGTAGTTCTCTTTGCTCCCTGCTCCCTCCTCCTCTTTCCCCCGCCTCCATTTTGTTCGCGGACGCTGGGGACGGTGGGAGCAGATCTATTTCCGGGTTGGCAAAAGGGGCGGTGGCGGCGAGAAAGGGAGCTTGCCGGGGAGCGAGCAGGACGGGACGAAGCCAGAGCGGAGGTGGGGGAGGATTCGCTCCCGGGGCTGCTGCGGCCAGGTCGGAAAGAGGCAGAAGAGGCTGGGTACGTCGCTGAGATGATCTGCAGACCTGAGTGGGAGAGCCGGGGGAGGGGGGAATTGGGGCGGGGCTTGAAGAGAGAGGGGATGTGGGGGAGGGGCCTGAGGGAGAGAGGGGTCCTGGGGGCGGGGTTTGGGGGGGGAATGGAACGGGGGCTGGATCTGAAGAGCCTGGAGTGGGGCGTGGGGAATCTTAAGTGGGGAGGAGTGGTCGGGAATTCATGTAGGGCGAGCACTGACTGAAAATGGGAAGGAAGGTTATTGAGAGACAGGAAATAAGGGATCCTGAAGGGTTGGGTAAGGTAAGACGGTAACTCGGAGTGAGGGACAAGTAACCGTGCGCAAAAAGGGAGATGGGGAGGGAGGACCTGTTGTGAACAGGTAATTAACAGGATGCTCTGAGTGAGGAGGCCACTGTTGACGTTTTGGGGATTGAGTTGAGTGAAAACCAATGGCTCAGAGGATGATTCGGGAAATTGCTTACACTTGAGGGAATCAGAATTGAGGTGCTCATGGGAGTAACCTAGAGTTGAGGGTTCGGTTTGGAGTGGTGTGAAGTGAGGGAAGATGGAAATCTTAAAGTCTTAGACGTGGGCAGTGTGTGGTGTTGAGTTACTGATCAAGAAAGAAAATTCTTGGCCACCTGGGTGGCTCAGTTGGTTAAGCGACTGCCTTCAGCTCAGGTCATGATCCTGGAGTCCGGAGATCGAGTCCCACATCTGGCTCCCTGCTCAGCAGGGAGTCTGCTTCTCCCTCTGACCTTACCCCCTCTGATGCTCTCTCTCTCTCATTCTCTCTCTCTCTCTCTAATAAATAAATAAAAATCTTAAAAAATAAAAAATTCTTAGAACACTGGGTGAGGAGCTGGAAGGAGCTGGTGTGTACTGGAATTCATATTTTTAAAGGGATTTGAATGAATAATCTGTTACTGCTTTGGACTCCCCCCCGCCCCAGGATCCACCTCCTTTTTCATGGTGTTTTTGCCTTACTGTTTTCTCGATGACTTCCTGAATGTTTTTACTGACTTTTTTCTCCTCTTACAAACCAAAAGAGAACCTCAGGGAATAAGGACTCTTCTAGCATACCTATGGATTTACTAAGTAACTTTGAGGCAAGTCATTAAAGTGTCTCATTTTTTTTTTTTTCCCCTTTGAAAGACAGGTTTGGTTCCTCTCTGCCTCTAAAAGATTGTGTTAACTAAATGGGACCTTTAAAGTGGTTGCAAAGAAGCGATCTCTGAGAACATGATTGAGGTATTGATATTTAGAAGACGTGTGTTTCTTAGTTTCTTCTCAGCCTTGCTGGCTATGTTCTGCCAGGGAATAGTTGATTTTGATTTGATACATGTCCAGTTTTTTAACTTTTCTCAAAGCCAACTTTTAGTAGCCCCAAATTTCATATTATTGTGTTACATTGTATTGACTGCCATCCAGATGGAGATAGGGAAGTTAGAGCTGGGGCTGAATGAGGTTGATTGATGAAGAATGTGAGAGAATTCACTGTTATTTTACTTTTGACAAACACTGACTTTCCTCATGAGCTCTGAGAATTCACTGAAAAATAGTATGCTAGACAGTTGAGTCTTTTGCTTTGGCCCAGGCACGTTGGCCTCATTGCCAGGTGGTGGGGAAGCAGTGTGCTTGTGGACAGTTTTAGCTACTTTATTGTTAATATATTGAAATCTTGACTATTCCAACTTTTTCTTTGGGCATAATATTCTAAACACTTTGCCCATAGGTGAACTTACTTAATTTAGCTTAGAAGAAGTATTCCTGAAAGTTTTGGCATTTCTCAGTTCTGACGTGGATTTGCTTAGGAGGGGGCAGTTTCCAATTCTGCCTCATACTTGATATCAGAATAGTGTTTACTTCATTGGTACTGATTAGTTATGTGATGTCAGCACAAAGGTGAAATGCAGGGGAAGGTGGAAGGTGGTAAGAACAGTGGAATTTTCAGGTTTCATTAATGGCTTTTAAGAAGGGAAGAGTGAAGTCCTGTTCCTATGGAGAAATTTGTCAGATGTTCTTTCTTGACCTCTTTGGGAGCATAACCTAGTGTACTTGAGTCTGTTTTTCTGTTGCTCTGAAGTGATTCTGAAAATCATGGGCCGCTGGTTCAGGCTGTTTCAACACACCCTAGTCTTCCTCCTAGCCCCAGTAAGAGCAGGAGGAGCTTCAGGCTATAAAGTATATACCATACACTTACTTGGGCGTAAAAACCTGCTTAATATTTTGCTGTTATTTCAACCACAGGATCTCTTTTTGGTTTGTTTTTCAGAGGGTTTGGAAATAAGTTATGGGGGCTCAGAGGTCTGGGCAGGCTTTTGGTATAGCCTGCTTTAATATACGATTTTCCATTTTTCCTATCCTGTCATGTTTTTCCAGTGCTTTATTTGAGCCAGTCCTAGGTGCAAAATGGCAAATTACACATTTTCCCCTCCTTTTTAGTCTCTGGTGGACCTGTTGTCTGTATCACAGTTTGATATCCCCAAAGTGAAAGGATTCTTTACTGCTTCAAATGGGGAGGGTGACAGAAGCTGAGTTGGGTTTTCTGGGCCAGAGAATGGATTCTGTCAGAGCAAAGAATAGTTGCAGAGACACAGACTGGGACCTTAAGCTGTGACTAACATTTTGGCAACATGCTTCCCTTTGCCAAATAACTTCTTTTCTTCTTGAGTGTGATTGTTGATCTCCTTCCCAAAGTAGGCTCTTGTTGCTACTGTTCTCCACACAACTCCCGAGCAGAAATTGGCAGAGTTCCGGTTGACGGACTGTCTCTTGAGGGATATGCCCCGGATTAGAGTAAATGGGGTATTCCATGTCAAAATGAGGTTCATTGGCAGATCCTGAGAGCTGCTCTGCGAGGAAATAGAGGCAGTACTCTTTTCTGAATGTTCTTGCACTCCTTTATGCTTTTTCTAAATTCAAACCTGTTTCTTATTCATCTGCTGATTAAATGCAGAATCATTGCCTCTGCCTAGCTTTCAAAGTCCAGGGCACTGAGAGAGAAAGAATTTCCCATATTTTTTTGTTCCACTCTCACTCCCAAGCCTTTTAGCCTAGGGAGCCACAGGCTAAACTCACGAGCACTTCTTGGTATTATTATAGAGGGGTATTTTATTTTATTTTTTATTTTTAGAGAGAGTGCACGAGTGGGGAGGGGCAGAGGGAGAGAGAATCTTAAACAGCCTCCACACTGAGCGCCGAGCCCGATGGGGGGGCTCAATCTCACAACCTTGAGATTATGACCTGAGCCAAAATCAAGAGTTGAACACTTAACTGGCTGAGCCGTCCAGGTGCCCTATAGAGAGTGGTATTTTAAAATGCTGAATAGAACTTACGGAGAGGGGTGCCTGGGTGGCTCAGTCGGTTGAGTGTCCAACTCTTGATCTCAGGGTTGTGAGTTTGAGCCTTGCGTTGGGGTCTGCGCTGGGCGTGGAGCCTACTTTAAAAAAAAACTTTATGGAGAAAAACAATACTAGTAGGGAAAACAGGTGATTAATTTGCTAGGGTCTGTGTCAGTCTTAGATCGCTTAAGATTTTGGCTTAAATGCAGAAAGAGCATTTGGAGGCAAGTAAGTTATCAAATTTGAGAGCCAGGAATTGGCTTCTAACTTGCCATATAACATGGCAAAGTTATAACAGTTTAGAATGGCTATACTAAGTACTTGGTTCTACTTAGTAAATGCCTTTTCAGTGTGTTCTACTTAGTAAATACCCTTTTGTTTTTTAGGGGATAATTAGTTGAAGATAACTTTGTCTCCAGTAGGTCTTGGGATGGATTATGAAGATCATTTCTTGCAGTCAATGGCAGTGGCCCTTGTAACATTGGAGATAACTCCAAAACAAATCGTCTGTCTGGTGGCCCTGGATATAGCTTCTTCCTGTCATCGTTAGCCCACACTATTCTGTTCCCCATATGCAGGTTTGGGAAACTAACAAGTTCAGATTCAGAGGTTTTGACTCTGATCCAGGGCTTTGATTGTGGTAACAAACAGGATTATTTGGAGTTGTGTTTAATCTTGTCTCAGATATTTCTTTATCGAAGAATATCTTGAAGTTTGGCAGATCTGTACATCTAAGGAATGTATATTGATTTCCGTGTCACCTTTCTTACTGGTTTTCAAAAAAATTTTTTAGTTTTTTGAACTTTGTGGATTCAGATTAAGCTCCATTTAGATTTTGAGGCTCTCTGGTGAAAATAATTTGTTCTTAGTCAGTATTTATAATATTTCTTCAGTACAAATTCGTTGACCTACTTTCTAAGCATATAAAAATGCTGAATTCAGTAATTCCTTTTTTCTCCCAATAATCACTTCTTTTTTTTTTTTTTTTTTTTTTTAAGATTTTACTTATTTGACAGAGAGACACAGTGAGAGAAGGAACACAAGCAGGGGGAGTGGAAGAGGGAGAAGCAGCCTTCCCGCTGAGCAGGGAGCCTGATGCAGGGCTCAATCCCAGGACCCTGGGATCATGACCCGAGCCGAAGGCAGATGCTGAACGACTGAGCCCCCCAGATGCCCCCCCCAATAATCCCTTCTGACCATGAAAACATTCTCCATATGTCCAAATTGGGACCGTTAGTTGCAAAAAAAGGTGGAAATATTCTTCTAAAGAGGTATAATCTAGTATGGGACAGGCTATCTGAGATTTGTGGATAAGTGAGTTTTCCTTCCGTCCACTTCTGCCTCCCAGTGCTCAGCTAGCAGTCAGGATCACAAAGTTGTTTAACCTCCATCACTGTCTTAGAAATAAGGATAGGACTGTCTTTAGCAAATTTTATTTATTTATTTATTGTTTAAGAAGCTTAATCTTATTTTTAGTAATCTCTACACCCAACGTGGGCTTGAACTCACAACCCTGAGATCAAGAGTTGCACACCCTTCCAACTGAGCAGCCAGGTGCCCCTGGCAAATTTTATTTTTTAAGTAGATAATACATTCCCATGGTTCAAAATTTGAAAATTAAAGAAGAATGTACA